CCAACAGACAAGTTACACGGTGCACCTTTAAAGAACAGGCTCCTAAAACTTCTCCAACAATGCCAACAAACAGGACTTAAATTAACAAAACTATGAATTTGAAGCATTGACACAAACTATCAGCAGGGGGCAGCAGATACAAACCTAAAATTAGCAGCATATTTCACATTCTTAAATAAAACATCATTTTCTTTTTTACATTTTCGGCCTTTTCTCCTGTCCTTACCCCTCCTGCCTCCTGTGTCCCTCTCATTTCCCAGTCCACTGACTTAAATACGACTAAACCAAACCAATCAGACCACGGTGTGCTTATTATTTTTAAGTACCGCATTTCCACATAATTCATTCCCATTTTCATTCTCCAATTCCTTTCATTGTGTCCATTTCCAAGGTTGGAAAGAGCCGTAAGATTAAAACCAGTGAATTAATAAATCGTTTAATTTGACCAACCAACCTTTGTTAGAAATAGAGCGCTTAACGTTAAATTATAAAATACATCTATATGCACATGCTCTGTGCACCTGTCACATGTATTATGCTAATGCAGCTATAGCCTTCACTGACCCTGGACTCAGATTTATGTAAGACCTATGTGCAGTTTGGGGGTATATATATATAAAAAAAAGAAAAGAAAAAGCTTTATTGTGTAATACAGGAGATATGATGCAATTATATAATAAACAATAATGGCAGGATGGCTGTTACCATGTTAAACATACAAATGATTTACCATAAAATACTCCAAAATGGATTAAAAAAGCCTGTGATCACTATTCACAGTCCTTTCAGCAAAAAAGTGAGCGTGACTAAATGCTGACTAATGCAAACTTGAGACTGTAATGCAAGGGTCATCAAACTAAGGCCCGCGGGCTGACTCCTGCCCTCCACGCTCCTTTGACCGGCCCTCCAGCCCCTCTGCCCCCCACCACATGAACTGGCCCTATGAGGCAATCGTCAAAAATCGTCATGGCCTGTTTTTTAAATTACTTTTTGGCAAATAATAACATGTCTGCATCTTGGATTTTGTTGATTTTTTTTCAATTAAAAATGATTTATATGAAGTATTTATATGTATACTTAAATAATTCTATGACATATTTACATTTGCCCCCAAATTTATCTTCAAATTTTCGTCACCTGACAAGCTCGAGATCAAACAGTTACAGTCATCGCATGCACAGAATTCTGTAGTGCAGTTAAGGGCAACAAAATGGCTTGTGTTAAAGTACAAAAACTTGACAGAGGGCTGAGTTTTCAAAAGAACAGCGGATGACAGATTTTTTTGTTCAGTGTAAGGACCGTGCAGTTTGTCTGATCTGTAAAGAAAGTGTGGCGGTTTTCAAGAATATAATCTGTTATACAGCTGACCTGACCCTGGCCCCCCATCACAGTCAGGAGCAATAATGTAGCCCCCAGAGAAAACAGTTTGGTGACCCCTGCTGCAGTGGTTTAAAGAGGGACTTGTTTAACAGCACAAATCAGCTCACCTATTGTAGTTCCACCTAAGTCAGTTCTTTCTGGTCAGATTGCATTAAAATAAAACTCAGATTACATCTAACTTGAGTAACAGAGTAGTGCTTTCAGTTAGCTTCACAAAAACAAAATGAATTACTTTTTTTCTTCACTACACAATACTGGATTCATATAGTTGATGTCTTCTGTATGTATCTAAAATGTAAAAAGACATAAATATATAAAACTAATACTGAATGAGATGTGTCCAAACCATTACTAGAAGCTACTAAGCCCCATTATTTTTAAATAAACACATCTGGGTATTTGTAAAAAGTCACCAAGCTTGAAATATTAGCACACTTAGGAACTCCATATACCTGTCCAGGGCACTGAACCTCGGACTGTCTTGCTGTATAGTGAGATTGGCAGGGGTGTGTCCAGACTATTTTCCATTGTGGTGGCCCGAGGGTGGCACCGGTCCTAGTCCACGTCTTTAAGGAAAGCCTCTCTGTGGATCGGCCAATCAGATTTCAGGGATGGCCTATGACCCCAACGTCCTAAAAACACATGCAAACTACTTGATCCAAATGCTCTTATTGACACGTCTCCAGTTTAGACGTCACTATGATTGTCTTAGGCAGATATATAATAGGTAAAGAATGGATTTTTCTTTAAAGGTCCTATATTACAACATGTTATAATGCTGTTACTTCCTCAAAAATATACCGGGAGTTGTGTTTTGTTTCACTCACACAAGTTTGAGCAATCCTTTAAGCTGAAAATGCTCTGTTCCACCTTGTAATGTTATGAAGCAGTAGTTTTCAAGTTAACAGCTACATTTTATCTTTTGTTCAGTATTGATTTGGCAATTCTAGGGCTGAAATTATCCAAATAATTCTAGTGAAGGAGTATGGAGTTTAAAAACACAGTGGAGCTAATGTATTACCATATGTGATCAGAAGGTGGAACAGAGTGTTTTCTGTTTGAGAAAAGCCTAAATATGCAGGGTTTGTGTGAATGAAACAAAACACAACTCAACAGAACAGGTATTTTTTTGATGAGGAAACCACATTATAAAAGAGATCACAAAATAGAGTAATACAGGCCCTTTAAAGGTGCCACTTATACGTAAAGGGTCTCCAAGGAAATCTTATTGCTTTGCTTTCAGTTTTCCATTGTATGGCATAAAATGTATGCACTGTACCTCTATGGAGACAAGCAGGTGACACCACAAGACTATATATTTTTTAGCAGTAAAAAAATATATATATATTTTGAAAGATATATATGCTAAATATTCCGAACAGGTTACAAGCAGGTGAACCTTCCACCAGAAGCTACATAGAGCATAAAGTTTAGGGGGTGAACAAGCCCAGTATTTGTAAGATGCCAACCCTCCACATGAGACCTCTTCTTCTTTCATCCGCTCTGTACCTCGGGTTTGTGCTGGTTGAGACTGTCCGATGTTTAAGTGGATTAAGCTCCATGGTTTTATTTCTGGATGGAGAAATCCGTCTCAAAAAGGAAGTGGGGTTGAGTCCAGTGTCAAGAGCTCGACATTATAAGGAACAGCTGAAACATCTCTATCCTCAGACTATTTTCAGAAACTATCAAATACACTGTAACCAAAACGGGTATAAAGCCATGAGCCTATCCAGTCACACTGCGTCTTTGGCAGTAAGTAGTTTTGCTTTGTTTACTGGCACAGAGGTTTGCTCAGGACACACAGAAATGTTAATTATTAAATAAATCCATGTGTGAATATGTTAACTGGAATTCTTCAACAACCATCTGGCAATATCTCAAGGCACACTGGTTGAAATTAAGGCAGGAGTGTAAGGAAGTCAATTTGCAGGTCACTGGACAAAAAGAAAGACTGTTGATGTTACTTAAACCCTGTACAAGTCTTAATAAATAGTAAAAATAGCAACTTGGATTTATATAGACTAGTGTTATTAATTTAGTCAGTTTCATTATAGTCACAGATGCCTTGGGGATGACTGAAGAAAATGTGGCTGCCAACTGCCTATTTGATCACCACCAATCACTCACTACATGGGCAAGGTTGTTAAAGTGTTTTGCCCAAGGACACAACACCTGCTACTACTGCACAGTTGATAAAATTGTTAAAACACCAAACTGCCTCAAAATGAAACAACTCTGCTCTAAAGAACCATTTGTATGTTATTATTTATATCGCAGCTGTTAATAGCGATAACATATGTTGATTAAGCGTCAGTTTGTTGCCATATTTTTACAATAATAACGATAATAAGAGTCGTGTTTTTATGTAAACAGCGTGGGACTTGATGAGCGCTGAGAACATCCACAGGTTTGTTTGACAGATCATTAATTCATTCTGGCTGAGTAGAGGGTGAAAGCAGGTCAGTGGGCAGTGGGTGTTTTGTCTTAAAGATTATCCACAAACGGGTCACCTCCAGAGAGTCCACAGAGTGAGGGGCAGAGAGACCAGATGTCCAGGGTCCCATGTAAGGCCGCTCATGTGGAAGGAGGCTAAAGTGGTCAATCAACTCCAGATTGTTTTCTTTCAATGACTTTGACATAGTGGACAGTCAGGACGGTGTCACAATGTTATTACTTGGTTAACATTTTTCTATATCCAATGTGAAGACACAGTGGTAATTCCAAATTCTCCTTATAATCAATGTCAGTGGGTGTCTATTGTCCCAGGTATTAGTCCTGCAAGTAAGTATTGATCTTGAGTTGAAGCAGCTGAAATTCAGTCACTAGATCATTCATAGGAATAAGAGACTGCTACTACTAAATAGAGAAATAGAGGCAAGCTTTTAAAGTTGTAACACTTTCAGGACTAGAAGTGCTTAGTATTATGAGTAGAAAAGTTGTAACAGCTGAAGTTAATCTTTTAAACAAAAATAACACAGCGTCTGTTTAAGTGTCTAAAAACACTGTTATACAGCTACATATGGTACTCATCAGTAAAACTATGTTCACAGTACAGCCCCGCCCTCTAGTGGTCAAATTAAATTAATACATGTATACAGTATACACTTGGAGTAGATTTTATTTTATTTTTTAAGAAAATCTTTCCATGTCACTAGCCTATTTATTTCACATTCTGAAATGTTGGACCTAACCTCCCCAATGTGCCTCTGTCTGAGGGATGACCACTGGAGCAGACCTGCGTCTCAATGAAAGATTGTCATTCTACATGTTTTGGATTGTGTACTCATTGATAAACTATCGCTAAAAAGTATGAGTAAGGCCTACAACAACAATGTTTGTCATTCAAGATAAATCAAATCGTCCCAGTACCGATTATCACTACACAAGTCCATCAGTAATCCAGAGGAGATTGTCAGGGCACAAATTTGTGCAGTGTGTATCCAATAAGGAAGTGACTCCTCTTCATCATGCCAACAGGACAAACTGTAAAATGTTACAGAATGTTTTTTACAGAACAGGTGAGCGCGCATTTCAGGTGTGTAGCACGCGCCTAGTCTCAGCCAATCACGATCCAGAGTCCAACGCAGCTCCAGCGGTTTTAAACTGATAAAAAGGTGAGCCCAAGACTGTGCGCTTCAACGAGTCCTGAGTGACATTCTAAACTCAAACCAGAGTTTCAACAAGTTTCCTCTTAAAAAACATTTTCTTCAAGATGTATTCCACGTCAATCCTTGTTTTCTTTTCCATGTTCGCCTGCTGTGCGTCCGGTTCGCCCGCGCTGGAGCAGGTGTACCGGGAGGTGGTGAGCGCAGTGGCACCGGGGGAGCAGCAACTGTCCCAGGCGGCCGTGCGCGCCGTCTTTAATACACTGGAGAACCGTGTGCAATGCGGCGAAGTGTCGTGTGAAAAGGTACGGTTTTATTGGGCTCCTGCTGCAGCAGGTGCGCGGAGCTTTTGGCAGGTAAAGACGGAACTGCTGCAGGGTCGAGGTCCAAAACGTGTTAAAAGGCCTTTACTGATAAAAAATAATAATAATTTAAAAAAACAAAAACCTATATTTCGTAACGTTAAGTATTATTAAAAAACGAACAACCATGTTCATAGTAACATTTCAGTTGGCAAATCGACCTAATATGGACTGTCAATAAAAAGTTTGATTTGTCTGTATTCAAAGAAGCGTAATGGATACGCTCTGTGAAAGAAAAAAAACATATAGGCTATTATGAAATAAGGACACGGAGTGGGTTTTTGTTTGAAGTATTTGAAGTAATGCATTAATATTTGACTTACTCTTAGCTTAGCCTACTCAATACGTTTGTTTAGTTTTTCAAACATGTTTCATAATTTATGAGGAAACGTTTGTGTTTTTACGCAAATAGTGCAACAAAAATGGCGTATCTTTTCTGGGGCATACTGTAGATAGCTTTAGTTAACCTTGCACAGCTAAATTTTCGCGATTTTTATAAGTTCACAAACTCACGAGAATCGCTTAGTAGGCCTAATATTATTTTCTTTTACTTTAACATTCACTTTTAACTTTTATTTTTCCCAGAGTAATACTACTGAAGCACACAGGTATTTATGAGCGTAAGTTTGTAGGCCTGTGACAATAACATATTTTGAGAAATGCGGCAAAAAATGTAAATGTTGAAACTACTTAATGCCATGGACACAAAACAGGATAATCTCTAAAAAATAATAATAATTAAAAAAAAAAAAAAAAACATCCACTAAATTCTCTGCAAAATACTTTATTCTTAAAGTACATTTTAAAACAGGTACTTTTCACTTAAGTAGATACTTTTACTTGAGTAACTTTTTACCTTTGTATCTGTACTTACCTAAGTAACAAAATTGAGTAATTCATCCATCACTGCTGAGCTGCAGCAGATAAATAACAGAATGATCCAAGATTTAGCTACATAAGTTATTTATTCTACCGTCTACAACCCAAATCTTACTTTATTACAAATGGCAAAAATCTGTTGTTGATTAAAAAAATTTCAAATAATTATTATGTAACAAAAAATTCAATACAGCCTTTATAATGCTCTTATCATTTTCATCCTTTAATAGGTTTAATAAGTGCTGAATGGATCTAAGTTGACCGTGTGATTTCAGGCCACACTTTTGCCTTTATGACCTTTCTTTTAGTGCTTATTAGCGACAGTGAAAATAAAACGTCTGATAGATCCTGATAAAACAAGTGATCTATGCCAATGACATATTATTATCTGTGGTTGAGACAGTTCAAAGTAATTATGTAAAATAGACCTATAACATGTCAAACTTCTCTGACAAAAAGTTGCTTCACCCAGTTAAATAAGATTTAAATGGCGAATAGATCAGTGAGTAGTGATCATTTGCAGTTTCCCCCACCTTTAAAGGTGCATTGTCTTATTTTTCTGGTGGAGGGTCCGACAAATGCTTTTCTCCACTGAGATTTTATTCCTGGTGGTGGTGAGGCGACTTCATTCACAGTCAGAATCAATTTTTCGAGGTATTTTCAAGCTATAAAACCACTTGTAATTGAATAAATGTAAGGTAGAACTGTTTGATGTCATACTGTGTAAAACTCCAGGCAGAGATGACCTATCCATAGAAACAAGCAGGTGACCAAAAAGTTACATAGTTCACCTTTAATTGTGTTTTTAGTTTTGATAATGTTCCCATATCAAGTTTTGTTTGTGTTTTGTGTTACAGTGCAGTCCTGCAGATGCCATTGACCAGCTGATAAGCTCATACCAGGAGGATAACACAGGATACAGTTTGTCTTTAAGCGTTCCAGACTTCAGTTTTGTGGCGGGAGGCGGCGTCCTGTATCTCAAATCTCCAGGACCAGTTTGTTCAGCGATAAAACAAGGAACATGGAAAGAGGAGACTGAACATTTCCTCCATGAGATCGATGTTCATACAGTGGAGATACTGCTGCAAAGTCTCCACTACAGGCCTGTGGAGGGGCAGGTACAACACGACTATGGGTTATTTGACCCAGCAGTTTGGCTTAATAACTTTTTGGGTTGTTTTTACTACTCAGTTCTAGACTGTGTTTTACTACTCTGCTGGGTTAATTCTACTCGATACATGGGTTAAATGCTTATAATGACAGTCATATTTAAGAAATATAATTTAAAAAATAAATGAATAAATAAATACATTCAAAACATTATAAATTCAGCAGTAAAATGTAATTTTAACTGTCCATTTTATAGTTTGTACTTTTACAGTTGGTTTATCTGTGGGTTGTTTGAGACGATTTGACCCGGAATGCTGGGTAGACGGGAAAAACGCGGGACAATGTCATCACTATGTTAGATTGGAAATGACCCAGGATTTGGGTTAAGCAAAACAACCCAACTCTGTAAAAATAACCCCAACAGTACTAACCCAGCAGCTGGGTAGAAAAAATAACCCAGCATTTTTAGGACTGTCACAAATATCAATGCTAATTTATCTACACAATCATTTATGCTTTACAACAACATTTCACCCACTGTTGAATAGTTTTTATAAGGTTTTTAAAAAGACCACATGGAACAAGTTGAGAAACGAGTTTAATTTAGTGTTAATAACTGCAACACTATTATCTTGAAATAAGAGCATTCTTATTATCATTGTGGTTCTGAAATTGGTATCAAGTATCAAACATTTTCCTTAGTCAAGAAATCGAGTTTGAATTTATTTTTTTTATTTTTATTTTAGTAACATGACGACATAGTAAAGACAGTAGTATTGGTAGTACTAATATTAGCAGAAGCAAAAGCGGAGTATTAGAAGTATTATCAAAACAATTCAATTTACCACTGCATTATATATATTACATTACATATTAGTCAATAATTTAAAGTTGTTTGTTGCCAGTAGCTGAGATTGTGTGGCTCAGTGATCAATTGTAACATCAGTAACAAATGAAAGTAAGAGCTTTGTCAGTCGAGTTAAATTCCCAAACTCATCAATGTAAGAGTAGGTTTGGTGACTAAATTATAGGATAGATTTGAGCTGTTAGTCTGGAAGCACAGACTCAAGGAAAAGAAAAGAGGAGCTGTTTGGATTGACAGAACAAAGAGCATATGGTCCCTTAACTTTAGTTTAGGGACAACATTTTAATAGGTATATATTATTAAAATATATTATTAACATATTAAAAAGCATAATAAGTTTTAAATTATATAATTGTTTGTATTTAGTACTTAGATGCATTTTTGTCTAAAGCCCTATTTTGCAAATATTAAGCCATGAATAATTTTCTTCCCATTTAAGTAGTGGGAATTACAATAGTGTTTAATTAATAAGTGTTTGATAAATACCAACTAACAGCAGATGAGAGCTTTTTCATAAATAACACTTAAGTTAAGAGACATATACTTCTCTTTGTTCAGCATCACCAGTTTTTCTGTATTGATACGTGTCATTACTGAACAAAGCACAAGGCCACAAGCTCATACTCAGACCATATTCTGCGTCATCTAAATTGTCACACATTGTATAAATACAATTTGTTCTAATACTAATGATAGCACAATAAATGTTATCTTATCGAACATTATTAAGGCCTACAGTATTTAAGATTCCAGTTTTATATTCATGATTTAATGAAAGTTGTGTGATCCCTCACCTTTGATCTCTTACATGGTGACAGAGCTGCGTCGGGGCAGGTGACCTCGTGGATGGACATGAGGACGGTGAAGTGGAGGTGGTTTTAGGGCGCGTCCTGCTCCACGCTCTGAAGGGGAACTGCTTCATGAGGACCACTCTGCCAGATGAGAGCTTTTTCATAAATAACATCATGGAGCGTCTGGGATCGGACAACTTCACCGTGGAAGGTATAAAGTGTTGAAACATAAGAAATATCGGTAAAATCACACATCAAGATCGTTACATCAAGGATTTTGTATTAGTGTTTAATTTTAGTTAATATTTGTCATTAGTAAACTAATTAAAGTTGAACTATTGTGTAAAAGTCAAAATGCCAGTCACCTATTACTCCTTCTGCTTAATATTTAAGAACATGTTTTTGAAAAGCCAAATAATAAACGGAAATTAAATAAAAACATATATATGATACACAGTATTATTATTATTTTTAATTGTTCATAAATGTATGCCAAATACATTTTATATGTCTGTGTATCTGAGACTGGGTTAAACTGGGACTATGCCTGGAACCAAACCAGGAATAGACCAGTAGACTTTAACATGCACTTTAGTAATGTAAATGTAAAGAACGGCAATACGCTCATGTTATACCTACGTCTGTCATATAATATTCTGTCATATGTACATTTAAGTAATACTTGCTGATTTACTGATGCTAAAACTGCATTCTGTTGCACTGTAATTGTACAAGTGCAATGACAAACAAATTCAATCTGAATTTGAATCTAAAAATGAAGATAGGTGTGAATTCTGTCCGTGTTCCTTAATTACAGAGTTGAAAGTTCTCATGAGGAGTCTCCAGCTGGGCCCAGACTCCGAGGACGACCACGATCATGATCACGATCATGATCACGCTCTAACTATTGATGGACAGGAGGACCATGACCAGTCTGACCACAGGAGGAAGAGGACAGCCCTGCAGCAGACAAGGGCCACTGAGACCAACAACACCTGGAATGAGGTAACAACATGAGCAGTGTGGGGTTCATGTGACCAGTGGTGTAACAAAGTAAAAGTAGTAAAGTAATGTTCTTAAGTTTACATTTTAGGCATCTGTACTTTACTTGAGTAGATTTTAAAGTGGATATTTTTTACTTTTACTTCACTACATTGAGATCAGGTATGTGTAGTTTCTACTCACACACTTTGAATAGGACTGAAAAGTAAAAATATTTTTTATTATAGTTTAAGACCTGCTGAAAAGGCTGAGGGTTTATTTTTAACACATTTGTAGTTTGAACAAACACAAATATATAAATAAAAACATCTAGTAAAAAAAAATATTGATTCAGTTGTTTCTGTTGCACAAAATTCAACACAAATCTTCATTAAAATCACTACATTTCAAGCTTTATTAAATTTAAAAATATGTGCAAAATACTTTTTACTTTTGACTCTTTTAGTACATTTTTAAACAGTTTAATACTTTTACTTAAGTACATTTTTCATGTGATGCTTTTATTTGAGTAATTTTTTTTTTTTTTGCTCCAATATCTGTACATCTGTTACTTAAGTAACAACATTGAGTAGTTGTTCCACCATTGCATTTGCAGCAATCAGACCAATCATTCAACACACTTCTTCTGGTCATTTAAAAAAAACTGATAAAAATAATACTATAATCTTTCCCAAATATTCCCAAATAATATGCTTTAAATTTACATTGACAAAAAAAAAAAAGTTTTAGATCCAGTCACCCAAATTTGTTTCAAAATCCAGATAAGAAGTCTCTCCCAAGGTTATGCTCTGTAATTGTAAAGAATTTACAAGAACAAGAATTTGTTCTCAGTATTAAAGGTTAAATAAATGTAATTAAAATACATTATGATTCATCTTTAAACCAATACACTTTGTTACTGTGTTGACTTTGCATAAAAATCTATATTTTCTGATTTCAGCATTGTTTCTCTGCTGAGGAGTTGATGCAGATCTACGGTCTCATGAACAGCAGCTCTGAGGCCAGTTCTGATCTGGCTCGGCTCAGTCCAGCTCTGGTCCAGCAGATCCTCAGTGGAGCCTGTTCTGTGACCATCAGTCCTGTTAACCCTGATGGTCTCAGTAAAACCGAACGTATGTTTTTCTATCTACATAATAATACTATATAATATTATATATAATATTTCTTTCCTCTGTCCCTGTTTCATTAAATAGGATAAAATAAAGTAGTTTTTGGGTGTTCTCACACTTGTTCATTTGGTCCTGGCTTTATGTAGACTTGGTTTGGCACTTTTCTAATTCTGGTTCAATCCAGGTTTAGTCCTGATCCAGTCCTAGTTCAGTACGGATTTAGTCCTGGTCTAGTCCTGATTCAGTTTGGGTTTATTGCTGGTCTAGTCGTGGTTTAGACAGATGTTTGTCTCAATGCAAATGCTAATTTTGAGGCATAGTACATATAAAAAAAACACCATATACATATAAAAATAATTGGGTTGTCTTCATTTTAATTTATTTGAATTTTAATAAGTCGTTTATTATATTTTTTCTGTTTTTAATAATAGTGACTGTAGCTGTGCACAGATTCTATAAAAACCAAAACATTTCCCATCTGTTTGCAGGATACCTCTATGCGACTCTGGCCAATGTGGTGATCACCCTCTTCGCCATGTTTGGGATCGTGGTCTTACTCTTTAGCTCCTGCACCACCGTCTTCCAGCTGTGTATTCAGTTCTGCATCAGTCTGGCTGTGGGGTCCCTCACTGGAGACGCGCTGCTCCATCTGCTGCCGATGGTGAGCACAGTGAGAGGGGATTTAGCACTACCTGTTTAAATATATGACAGATTTATCAGTATGTTTTGTGTTTAGTTCCTTGGTCTCCACTTGCATGAGGAAGGGAGCAGCAGTGACCACGTGCACACCGGAGCACCTCCAGATTATGTTCAGAAAATGCTTGTGCTGATGTCTGGAATCTACATCTTCTACCTCATGGAGACGATCTTCTCTCTTATCTCGCACAGAAACAAAAAACACCAACATACACATCATCATGGGGTGAGACTGAGTTAAATTCACATTTAAACATTCACATTCATTACTGTGGAAATCATTTCTATTACATTTTTTAATGGTTATTTTTAGGATGAATCTGACCCACACCACTGTGACCACGGAAGAGTTTTAGAAATGTATCAACAAGAAAAGAAACAAAAAGAAAAGATGCAGTCAGTGTCGAAAGCAGATCTGGTGAGAAACACACACACAGTTTCTGTTAAATTATTCTAATATTAAGTGTACACACACACTTACATATTTCATTATCTTTTTCAGATTGCCTATGAGGAGGAGAAACCTCAGAAGGAGCGCACACGAGGTGAGGCATTTGGATTAATACGTTTTTTTGTAACAAAAGTGCACTCTGTGTTTATATCATTATACTGTATTGTGTAACCTGCAGAGCAGCGACTGCTTCCGTACATGATCACTATTGGAGACAGTATTCATAACTTTGCTGACGGTTTGGCGCTGGGAGCAGCTTTCTCTGTGTCATGGAAGTCTGGTTTAGCCACATCTATTGCCGTCCTGTGCCACGAACTACCTCATGAACTGGGTTAGTCCATTATACTGTCTGCCGACATTTGTAAGATAATCAAATATAATACAAGGGTTACTATAGAGCTGTTATGTTTTTACAGGAGACTTTGCCATCTTGCTGCACAGTGGTGTCTCCGTTCGCAGAGCACTGCTGCTGAACGTGTCCAGTGCTATGACCTCTTTCATTGGGCTTTACATCGCTCTGTCTGTGGCCACTGATGTGGCCACACAGCAGTGGATCTCTGCAGTGACCGCAGGGCTCTTCTTGTATGTGGGGCTGGCTGACATGGTAAGACTCACAGTCACAGTTTAAACACATAGATTATTATAACACAGACAGCAGATCCAGAGTAACCCTGCCTCTCTCCTCAGCTCCCCACACTGGTGCACATCGACAGCAGGAGGCCCTGGACCATGTTCCTGCTGCAGAACCTGGGCCTCCTGAGCGGCTGGACCGTCCTGCTCCTGCTGTCTCTCTATGAGGACCAAATTAGCTTTTAAGGATCAATAGGTATTTTTTAGTGAAATTTGATGACACAGCATTCATTACTTCTCAGACACAGCAGAAGAAAACTGTAAAACAAGACTCTCCCCAGATAATGTTATCTGCTGTTATGTGTAACCTCCAGTGCCTTCGGAGCAAACAAGTGGACATGGCTGAAAAATAGGCCACTGTTTTTCATGTTGTGGTTTTAAACACCAGAAGTTTTACATTTTCACTAGACATTTTGTGATTTTGTGACTGTGTGCAGTTTGTGAATTTCCTGAGCTAAAGATTTCTTTTGAATTGTATATTTAAAGTTTAGCTTGTTTATAAATGTGTACTGAAAAGTATTTTGGCAAAAATAATGGAATGCAGAATTATGAATAATTTATAGAAAGCAATGACTCCATGTTAATAGTTTGTCTATTGCTATTAAAATTCAGGCCTTCTCCACAAATTAATTTTTAAAGGTATATATGCTCTCCAGATCATGAGCTTGGTCAGGGCTACCTTAGCTGACGGACTTTATATTTTGGGTTGATTGGGGTTGAGTGCCCAGAGGAAACCTACACTGATATGGGCAGAAACACAGGAAGCCCCAAGCGTTCTGGGAGCTGAACTCATAACCTCGCTGTGAGGTGAAAGTAGTAATTTGTACCTAATTTTAACAGATCTAACGTTCTTGGCAGTCCTCCTTTGTATATGACAGATTACAATGATTGACTTATTTTATATCTCTATGATCTAATCCCTTTATCCTTTATCTTGTGTGAAAGTTGTTATCAGGAGCAGAGTCCACTGAAAAGTCACTCTGACACAATGACTCCACTGGTGCACTGCACAGGTCCACAGCTTTATGGACATTTAAAAAGTGTAGTCAGTCTGGAAGGACTTAGCTCACATGAAATTCAGTAGTAGTAAGTAAGCAGTAGGTAATTTTTATTAGTTTGTCTCGCTTCAAGTGGAGTTTTCACTGCCAATAAACTCATGGCTGGACCTTTGAGCCTTTTAACATTATAGAGCACATTATGTCTACAAGGGTTTTAACCTGAATTACGCCATTATATTAGTGAACCCAGGACTTCATTTGATGCCAAAGTCTACTGAAGACTGTAAAGTAACAAGATGTTTTGAAAATGCCATGTAAGCAAAACAGTCATAATTACTAAACAAAATGATGGACTGAAATCACAATGTAATCTGAGTGATAGCAGCAAGGTCAACGGGTGGAGAAGGTTGAAACATGTCAGTGAAACAACTGAAACAAGTAATCAAGTATAACCCATTTACAAACAATAAGGAACAGATATTTTGCTTATTTTTTCTCAATGGCTTTGATGGCTTTATGTGTGTTTTTTTGGTTTTTTTTTAAGGTTCTATATTACACAAAATTTGACTCTTGAGAGCTTTAAGACATGTTAGAATGTTGTTACGCTATCAAAACATACCTGGGGCTGTGTTTTGTTTCATTCATACATGTTTGAGTAACCCTTTATTATTAGTCTCTCTATATCTCCAAAGTTCAAAATGCTCTGATGTCATGAAGCAGTAGTTTTTGGGTTAACAGCTATTTCTTACATTTGGTTTAGTAGATATTGAGTCATATTGAAATCATCCAAATGATTCTAGTGAAAGTGTTGACACAAGACATCACAAGGTGTTTTCTGTTTGAGAGAAGAACACTTAATATGCAAGGTTTGTGAGTTGAACATGTGTGAATGAAACAAAACACAGCTCTAGATATGTTTGTGATGAAGAAACATTATGACATAGATCAGAAAATAGTGTAATATGGGCCCTTTAATAAGCACTTGAAGCACTATACTCTGAAATGTGCATGTATTCTTGTTAGTAATTTTAACTACAAACTCATTTGACCTAAGGCTATAAAGAAAATTTCCTTTACTCATAGCTTGTGACTGTAGTGTTATTGAGAGGGACTTTAACGTCAGAACATCACAAATCACCTCACCTGTCAGTTCTTTCTAGTCAGACTGTGTTAAAAAAAAGCTCAGATTAAAGTCTAAGTAGAGTAACAGTTTCAAACAGAGCAGAGCTTACAGTTAGCATCACATCCCCAGGGAAGGTTGATATCAGCTGTAAAATATGAATTCTACATGATTTGGACAGTAACTGAGAATAAGTCTGTGTGCTCAGGTTAAAATTTAACATACCCAACAAAAGTTACATGCGAAGCAAGACTGGACACATAACATCATTGGAGGCTTTCGAATCAATATTTGTGTTTCAGGTTCTTTTTAGTTAATATTATACCAGTTAGCGGAGTTTTACTTCCTTGTGCACAGATTTGGATTGTGTGTGTGGTTTTTCTTATGTTACAATTACATGTATAAATGTGAGGGTAGTCTAGAATAATACATTATACATCATAATAACAGAATAATACAGACCAGACCAAGTTAAAAAAATATATATTTTATTACAATATTTACTTTGTTTAAAACGGTTAAAAGTTAAGTGGCTACCAATCATGTAATAAAACCCATTAACCTCCATCAATCATTTAAAACTAATGATTTCCTGAGTGGCCAGTCTGATGAGCTGGTTAAAGTCAAACTGAATGTACTTCCTCCAGTAGCGTCTGTCTTTGCCATAGGTTATGGCAGGATAACAAGGGCTCCCTGAAAAGTGACATACAGTCAGTGGTAGAAAAAGTACTACATTTTGTTACCAAAGTAAAAGTACAGATACTTCCTGCAGATTTTGAAACCTTATAATGTTTCAATAATTCTAATACATTTTTATGCTGAATATTGTTCAACGGAAACAACTGAAATTTCTTGTCTAGCTGTTTTAACTTGTATATTTTATTTTTGCTTGCTCAAACTCCTTGGCCATTTTAGCAGGTCATGCATAATAATAAAAATAATAAAAAACACTTTTGCGTTTCAGTTTTGTTAAAAAATGTAGTGAAGTTGAAAGCACAGATACCTGCTCTTAGATGCAGTAAAGTAAAAGTAAATGGTATCCACTTTAAAATTGACTTAAGTACAGCACTTTACAACTTTTTGTTACGTTTAATCACTGCATACAATACAATAAAAATGCATCTACTGTTTACTAATATTTATGTCTTTTTGTCTTCTAACAAGACAAATTGCTGATATTATACTTTTAACTATTTCTTCTTCGTCTTTTGTTATTTTATTTTTTTAACTGATTTTTTTTTTCATTGTGCTAACCATTAAGGTAACCGCATAGTCATAGTGGATAAGAGTTTGTGATGTCTATGCAGAAATGAATCAGTTGCCCTATATTTTTATCACCTTTCTAGCTTCCTATTGTCTGTTCTTGAAACCAGACTACTTCTAAAACCATCTAAAACCAGAGGGCGTCATCTACCGCCCTCTGGTGTTTGAAAATCATCATGTCAGTTGTTCAAGTTAAACTGTATCAAAACAACTGTGATCTCACCAATGCCATGGAGGATTCTTGCCACAGCCCGTCCAGAAAACTTCTCATCACTTCTGTTAGCGAGAAAACTCCTAATGTCCGCTCTGATCTGACCCTCCCAGTCCAACAGCTGAAAAACAACATTCAAATAATTCATTAACACAACACACTTTAAATCTTAATAGGAATTATAACTCAAAATCAGATACTGTTGTAACCTTAAATCTGTCAAGCTCTTCGATTTCCATGGGAGCAAGTGTGTGGTGCTGGTCTCTCCTCTTTTCAAAATATTCAAAGAGGAGACTTTTGAGCTGAAGACTACGGCTCTCATCCAAATCATCAACACAGGAAGTTACTCTTTGATACGCCACACTGTAAATTCAACAATGTGAATTAGAAATAAAAATAAGCAACAAAAAGTGTATATACAAGAGTTTGGAACCAGATAGTGATCTATTTTCTGAGCTATAAATTAGACGTAATCAAGTTTCCATCTCCTGGTATGTTATCTTTAGTTTGGAATTATAACATTTCTAGTAATAAAACTATAAAATCCACGTGTACCTTTTGAAAGCCTTGAAGCAGGAGGTGAGCTGGTACAACTGTGTGGCCTCTTGGCTTTGGACTCTGTTGTGGAGGAAGTGACAGACCTGGTCCATCTCTTCATTGCTGAGGTCGCCATAGGAACGAAAGTAAAACGACGGGGCTGAAAACTCCACCATAACGCCACTGCGACCCCCCACTGAAACACATTTGCCGTGAGTAGGATTTGGTACAAAATGTATAAATGAAAATACTGAAATATGGGCACAGGTCAACACAGCTTATATTGTGATAATGTTAATAGTTATTTCAGCTGGTCAGTGGGAATCGAACAGGGCTGGGAATCACATGGTCCCTCACGATTCGATACAAGGCTCATGATTGTTGTTTTTTAAGAACCAAATACATTTTAGCAACAATATTTCTTTGTTAAAGTGCATTGTGTAACTTTACTGGTGGAGAGTCAAATGCTTCAAATATCTTCATGGAGATGTTATTGCTTTATATGGAATGTTTCACAGTATGGCATTAAACCTTTTTTTCTTCATGGAGACCAAACCAGATCAACTCACAGGTCCGATCTGTGGAGAGGCAGCCCGCTCACAGTCAGAATGCCTGTTTTTCTATGTATTTTTGAGTTATAAAACCACCTGTAGTTGAATAAATATAAAGTATAACAGTTTAATGTCATACTGTGGAACATTCCAAGCAGAGCGATGACATATCCACAGTAACAAGTAGATGACAGACCCTCTACCACAAAAGTTACACAATGCACCTTTAAACCACTTCTTGTGCAAAGCGAATATGAAATACATCTACTTTAAACATCAAAACAGTGAATATGTCAAGTGTATTCCATAAATAAGTTTAGTTCCATTAAATACGCAACAAAATTATAATGTGGTCACAAAAAAAGCTAAAAGAAACAAAAAATGTTCTTGCCAATATTGATACAGCAGCCCACAATAACAATACTGTATAACCAAAGGTATTATTACGATATATATCGATATTTCTATATTCTTGCACACCCCTAGAATTGAATGCATTAGTACTGTGAGTAGTTCGTAAGTTTACTGGAAGTTTTCATGAACTGAAATTATAATAATCATCAACAGTTTTATGAATTTGGCTTGTGTAATTATTGAATGTTATACTTTCCTTTTCTTTCGCATTTATCTGATAACAAAACATCAACTGATAAATTTAAAAGACATGTTTTACCATTGGGTTGCAAAAAGTGTCTTCTGATTATCTGATTATTGTTATCAGCATACTCAAAAATAAATAAATAAATATATAAAATAGAGAACTTCTTTGATCACATATACACATCACATTAAAAGGTGGAGAAGAGGCCTTTCAGTTTGAGAGAAACATACACTAAATATGCAGGATTTGTGTGTTAAACATGTGTGAATGAAACAAAACACAACTCTGGATCGTTATCAGGATACTCAAAACATAAATGAATACATAAAAACATAAGACTTCTTTAATATCATCATCCCTAATTTCAGTACCACCATAAAAAACACATATCAAGTTACCAGAGCTCCATTGTAGCTGCCGGAGTCCTCTCTTCACCAGGGGGAGCTGCCAACCCATTGTGTCTGCTACCTCCACCACGTCAAACTCCACCTGGTCCAGAACCTCCACCCGCTGCCCCACCATCCGCATCCGGGCCAGAACCACAGCCACAGGAGGACAGCTGCAAGGAAAAGACAAAAACATCTTATTTTTATTGTTAAGTTGTTATTAAGTCCTATATTGTGCAAAATTGATGCTTGTGAGCTTTCAGTCATGTTATAATGTTGTTACTTCATCAAAAGCGCACCTAGAGTTGTGTTTTGTTTCATGCACACATGTTTGAGTAACCCTTTATTATTTGTCTGTCTGTCTACATCCCCAAAGCTCAAAATGCTCTGTTACACTTTGTGATGTCATGTAGTGGTACTCTTCAAGTTAATAGCTACCTTTGCCTTGGAACCTTTTGAGACAGAAAATTCCAGAGCTGAAATTATCCAAATTTATTACCACATGACATGACAAAGTGCAGATTTTGTGTGTTAAACGTGTGAATGAAACAAAAAACTCCAGGTATGTTTGTGATGAGGAAGCAACATTATACCATTAACACAGATCAGAAAATATCATAATACAGGACCAAAATATAGCCATGATGTCAGTGTACTGTACTTGGAGTATGTGAGGAAGTCCTAAATGAATTTGTTCTAATGGGGTCTGACAATTAAAAGAAAAATTGCATGCAAGAGGACAAACACATAATGCCATAGAAGGAAGACGTCTTTAACAAAAGCTACTAATTTATTGCCCTCTAGTGTTTGTACGATAGATTGACATAGTTATAAATACGGTATTATCTACTAAAATCAGGATTATATTAGTGAAGATGATAATCGTGGATGTTTTCAAATTTGTTTCTCTAATGGAAATAGAAGACGGGGTGTATGTTTATTTATCTATTCATGTATCTATCTATCTCTTTCTCTCTCTATCTATATCTACATCTATCGACATAAAAATAGTGTTGGATAAAATACCTTTCATTATAATTCAATAAGGTAATTTGTGGATTTATAATAGCATATACTTGGATTGGTTACTGGTCACAATAGCTGGATCATCCCTAAACTGAAACTGAAAATATGAAGTTCTTACATTTTAGTGAGTTTCTGAAGTTGTCGTGGTCCGTTGTAGCAGGCAACTTTACACTGGGACATGGTTGGGTGAAGTAGTTCCACAAAACGCTGAGGATGGAGCTCCAAATAACACAGCAACGTCTCCACACCTGTTTCAGATGAGACGGCGATGGATCACAACGAAATAAGAGTAAAAAAAAAAAACATTCTTTATCTTGTGAATGTGTCTTATTTAAAGCTGTGGGCCTCTCACAATAAATGCTACAGCAACCATATTCATTAATTTATGGCTCAATATTTAAACTATATTACTTTTCTTAGCTTTTTCTATAATTTCTAGGTATATTTTATAGAACCAAGTTTTATTTTCATGGTCATGGAAAATAAAGCAGTTTTGAATATTTAAGTACTTCTGTAACTTTGGTTAAAGGTTATACATTACACAAAATGGACCTGGTTTATTAGTCTGTCTACATCTCCAAAGCTCAAAATGCTCTGTTCCACCATGTGATGTCATGCAGTGGTAGTTTTTGGGTCAGCAAGCTTTTACCTTCAGATTAGCAATTCCAGAGCTGAAATTAGCCAAATTTCAGTGAAAGTGTATGGAGTTTAAAAACACAGTGGAGCACTTCCTATATTACCACATGACATCACAAGGTGGAACTGAGGGTTTCTATTTCAGAGAACAACTGAGCCTAAATATTCAAGGTTTATGAAATAAATGTGTGAATGAAACAAAACACAACTCCAGGTTTGTTTGTGATGAGAAAACAACATTATAACAGAAATCAGAAAATTGCATAACATGTCAGCGTACCCTCCTCTGTGATGTCTAAAGTCTCCACAGTTTGTTGGACAGGAATGGCTCTTTCATGGGTGTGACAAATGCGCTCTTTCGGCCACTCAAAGGTCACGGTTTCTTCTTCTTCTAATTCACTGTCGACATTTGAACTTTGTGGCTGAACAGACTTGTCATCTCTGGCTTCAGGCTCAGGTGCAGCAGCATCAGCTTCAGCTGGTAGTTTAGTACTATCAACCTGGAAGCAAAACATTTCCTCTTTTAAGATAGTGAAGGAAAAACAGTCTGATACACACAATGATATTCCTAAACTTTCATAGGAAGTGTAAATTCAACTAAAATGACTAACAAATCTGACTAACAAATCAGTCACTCTTCCTTTGCCCAATTGCAAATCCAATCTGCAGCAGTTACAGAGAAAAGGGTGACAAATTTTCAATGTAAAGTGATCCAGAGTGGATCTAGTGTTAATGGAGCTGGAAGCCGCCGATGCTCTTTTCTGATTTGGAACATGCCAGCGAGCAGGTTAGCTATGTTCATTGATATATAGTCTATGGCTCAGCAGTGGCCACATTTTAGTCACAATTAACAGTTAGAGAGCACTAAATATATATTAATGTTTTTGTTTTATTTGTTTAAATAGTATTACTTACTGGTGTTGGTTGTGGTGCATCTTTTGGTTGGTTATTCATAGATGGTGTCATTTGCTCGATCAGACCATTCTCCTGTTCACAGACTTCCATCATTTCAAGTAGCTCAGAGTCCTCTATGTCCTACAAGTAAACAGTGTTACATTAATAAAAACAGGAGATGAGGTGAGTGCTTCAGTGGGTGTCTAGTGAGTCAGATAGAAGGATATAAGAGAGTGTTGCTCTTCAAGGATAAGGCCACTTGACATGAAAGAACAGAAATTTATCTTTGCATATACACCAATGCAGAAATGTGAAGGTAGTGGAGGTGAAGCCATCCAACCCTTGTGCACAAAAATGAAAGGTCCTTTATTAAGACACAGACCAGCCTACGCGATTCGATTTTACTCGTAAGCCCTGACTAAGACACTTAGGTCTTAAGGGTGCACTGTGTAACATGTCTGCTGGAGCATCTGTCACTTGCTTGTCTCCATGGAGATGTGCCTAGAATGTTCCACAGTATGGCCATAGACTTGTGAATTTCCAAGGAGACATCCAAGCCAATACACAGGTTAGATCTGTGGACAGGCAACCCCACTATCACTAAGACTAATGTTTAATGTTTAATGATGTTAAATGCAAGACAGATTAGTTAAATATTATACTGTGGACAATTTAAACCGAAGCATTAACATCTCCATGGGGACAAAAAGATGAAAAGTTATGCAGTGCACCTTTTATCACAATTAACTGGTTCTAGTTTCCTGTGTATAGGTGCCATTTTGAGTACTTTTACCCATTCAAAAGATGATTTGTTTTGAATTTTAAAGTGCCACTTTTCCATCACTCTGAAACCTCACTCTCAAACAGCACTTTACTCATAAACATAAATATTTACTTACCTTGTTAAGTAACTGTTGTTTCTGGTGGATTTGTTTACATTTACATGGAGGGAAGACTTTCTGAACCAGTCTCTTCACTGTGTAATAGTCCACTGTGTCTGCATAAATGTGACGACGAAGTTCATGGAGATCATCACCCTACAAGATTACATATGTATGTAAAATTATAAAATAGGAAAGAAAAGAAAAAACATATTAAAAAAATAATAATAAAATTACACTCACCTCTGGGTTTAAGAACAGATGGCAGTGGGCCGGCTCTCCATCTCTTCCAGCTCGTCCAATTTCCTGAACGTAACTTTCAAAGCTCTAGAGAAATAACAATGTAAACAAATAACTATAAAAAATCTGTTAAAATCATTGCTTTATTCTCTAACACTTTTCAATTGAAGTATTTGAGTGGCTACAATAGTTAAATCAAGTACAAGTACTCAAGTACAATCAAAATAATACACTGACAACCATTCACTCTTACATTCACTGCAAATTTTACCTAGCACTTTGTATAACTGTGAAAATTAAGATAAAAAATTGTCAGGGGCACAAATTATGGCCTTTACAAGACATTTATCAACACAGATGTTTAGTGTCCAATAGGCTTGTCACGATAATTACAATAATCGACTTATTGTTCAATATAATATATGAAAACTGGAACAATATTTTTGGGGCTCAGTATGTATCATGTGTACTTTTTTTTTTTTTTTGGCTATACAATAAGATTTAAGATGTAAAAGGGTGAATTAATAACTTCCATGACTCATTACAAATGCAAACTAATTACTAGAGTTTTTCATTCTGCTTGTTTATTTATTGCAGCTCGTGCTTTTTTAATAATATTGTAGATTTACAATAGTTTTTAAGTTTTAGTTTAGAATCACTCTTATCGTTTATCATCTATATTTACTTCAGCAATATATCACACTTAAAAACTTGTTATTGTGACAAGAGATAGAAATGGTTGTAATTTCTTCCTGCATACCTTGGGCATGTTGTAGTGTATGATCCCCCGGACATCAGATTTGTCCAGTCCCATCCCAAAAGCGACAGTTGCCACGACAATTCTCAGCTCCCCGCACATGAAGTTATTCTGGACACGGCGGCGTTCAGACCCCGACAGACCAGCGTGATACGACTCTGCCTGCCATTTGATTGGTTTACGGATCTTTTTCCTTGCTATTTATACCATACAAGCACAATATTACATAAATAACATATTTTTAAAGTAAATAGTTTTTGTGTTTTATGCACTCCATACCAAGTTCCTTTTTCTTCTGTCCTACAGGGTTGCTCTGAGCCTCACTGTTGTTGGTAATGTTTGGGTTTTCTTTAACTAGCACCCCCTGCAGGCAGGTTCTAAGTAGTGCAGCAACTCGTGTGGTCTCGTCTCTTCGGGTGCAATATACAATAATGGAGTCCAAACATCCAAATCTGTCACCTCTCAATAAGGAAACCAATGCCTGTGGTCAAGTATCAAATAAGTTAATGATAAAATCAAAAATGTGCACTGTGTAGCTTTTCTGGTTGGAAAGTCTGTAACCTGCTCGTCTCCATTGAGATGTTATCGCTGAGCCCAGAATGGTTAAAAGTATGGCATTTGATCTTTTTCCATGTATTCAATTACAGTTTTTATTGCTCAAAAATACCTTGAAAAATATGCATGATTGCCTTTTCATAGAACTCAATATCAACTTTGCTACCTGCTTCGTTCTGTGGAGACTGATCTGGTTGTTGCTACACTGTGAAACATTCTAGGAAAGGCAAAAACATGGAGACAAGTAGACACCAGCGAACCCTCCACCAGAAAAATTACATAATGCAGCTTTAAATATTGACACAAGAGGCGTACCTGGTCTTTTTCTCTGTCCATAGACACAGAGAGGTTGAGGTTTGGGGGCACGGCGGCGGACCTCACAGCGATGCCGTCTTCGTCATTAATGTCCAAATGGCGAGCGATGTCCAACGCAGTGGACAGAGTGGCTGTAGCTGTGAGACCCAACAAGCACTGTACGCCCAGACGCTCCCTCAGGACCTAAACAATATGCACAGAAGATGACGTAGAGATGAGTTCCACTTTAGGAATAGAAACTAATTTACCAACAAATGAGCAAAATAAAAACACAATGATCCTGTAGAGCGGGTTAATACGAACATTTTCAGACCAAAATGACAAGGATCACAGCAGCAGTTACAGAGAGAGGGGCAACAATTTTACAATGTATAGGCATTTAGAGCAGGAGTTGATGGAACCAGAGGCGCCCCCATGCTCACTTCCTATTAGGAAAGTGGCAGCTAGTGGGATAGTTATGTCAATTTAAACACTCTACTCTATATAGTAGAATTAAAAGAATAGCTGATATGCGTATGTTAGGTTTATACGCAATAGTAAACATACAAAAATATTTCCAAAGGCTTGCTAGCTATCAGTAATGTTTTCCTGATATTTAAATAAATTATTTTTAATAATGTTTAAAGGCCTTTTAAACTTGGCATTCCTATACTTTAACTACAACATCTTAAAAAGGATCACAAATTAAACCTTGTTAGAATAATCAATCAAATCAAACTTTATCTATAGAGCGCTTTTCATACAAAAATGCAACACAAAGTGCTTCAACAAAGATTACAACAAAGGGTGAAATAAGCATCTGAAAAGTGTTTAAGTATGGCAAAGGAGGAATTCAATTTGTCAACCGGACAAATGCTTATTTAGGTTGAAAATGTGTCGCAGCTCATCCAAGCTGCTTCTTCAGTTCTGGTCAGACGCTGGTGAACACTTCCTTATATCTGCCTGAAGGGAGGAGGTAACTACACTGAAACTAATCTGAAATTAACGTCATACATGTTTCTGTTTGTTAGCTAGGCGTATTCATCTGTCCTGAGTGAGGGGACATATCAGCATAATCATTCAGGCCCAAAATTAGGGTTTTTCCCCACCTATGGCCCTCTTTGTTTTAGGTTTGAGGATGGAATTGTAAATAGGAGACCTAACCTTCCTGACAAAAACAGCCTCATTAACTCCCTTCTCAAACCAATTCTTTTCTTTGGCTAATATCTGTACCTCACTATCCTCAAAGGAGTGGCCCTTGGCTTTTAGGTGAAGATGTACAGCAGATTAAGGTCCACTGGGGCTCTCTCGTCTTGTGAAGTGGCTTATTTAGTTTATTAAGTATGTATTACTATACTACAGTCTTAATGTCATTTGTGGCTAGATTAAAATGGTATAATAATGTAACTGAATTAAGTTGAATGTAAAATGCTTTAAAAACGCTAGATTTTAATGTACTACGACTTACCTTACAGAGCCTCAGATAGCAAGGTCTGAAGTTGTGAGACCACTCAGACACACAGTGAGCTTCATCTATACAGGCAAACGCCACAGGGGGGAGGTCTTGGGCAGGGGGCAGACATCCTGATCCTGAACCACCTCCACCGACCAGGGCCTCTGGTGAGAGGAGCAGCACACACACCTGCCTGGCCTTCACCTGGAGAAGAAAAAATAATGATCAGTCTAAAATGTGCATGTGGGTTACACTGGCCTTAAGTAGTACCAATAAATGACATATACAATTACATAAGTAGACAGTATTTAGTGAAAAATAGTATTAAGTTAGATGGTTGGGAGTATTACCTTTTCAATAGCAGCTTCTCTCTGCTTCATTGTCATGTTGGAGTGAATACAAGCAGCCTTTAACTTTGGCGATATTCCTGAAAGCTACAGAAAATATAAAAAGATATGTAAGATGTAAAATTATTATTCAAAATTATTATTATATTAATATTAATCAAATATGTAGTTGAGCAGAAAGGACAAAGATGCGAATGACTAATGGATTATACAAACGTTTACTTCAGAACATCATAGACCTCATTTGTGTCATTTCTTTTACATGTTAGACCCATTTGCCAACTTTCTTCACGGTTTTATAATGCTGCTAATAAAGCCTTACTTTGGTCAATTTTATTAATATATTCTGACGCTTACTTGATCATCCATCAGTGAGACCAGAGGTGAGATGACTAGTGTTATACATTTAGAGCGTTGATAGTACAGATAAGCTGGGAGCTGGTAGCAGAGAGATTTGCCCATTCCTGTTGATAGTACCACCAATGTAGAAAGACCTGGAAGTGCATGTTAAAAATGAGCAAATATAATGACTTATAATAAATCAATACACCAATGGAAAGATTGTATTACCAGACAGGATCCTCATGATGGCGTCCTCCTGTCCAGGTCTGAATGACTGATAGCCCAAATCTTTGAGGCCAGCAAAAACTTCAGCTGGCGTTTCTGTAAACAGTAGAAGCGTAATGTTATTATGTCAATCTTTATAACAAAGTATTTTATAAAATTGTCCTATTAAGCTATTTTCTGATCTATGTTATGTTGTTTCCCATTACAAACATACCTGGAGTTGTGTTTTATTTCATTCACACGTTTAACACACAAACTCTGCATATTTAGGCTGAGCTCTTCTCTCAAACAAAAAACACTCTGTTCCACCTTGTGATGTCATGCGGTTACATACATACAGGAAGTGCTCCACTGTGTATTGAAACTGCATGCACCTTCACTAGAATAATTTGGATAATTTCAGTCGTAGAATTACCCATCTCTACTGAACTGAAGTTAAAAGTAGCTGTTAATTTGAAAACTATGGCTTCATGACATCACAAGGTGGAACAGAGCATTTTGCGCTTTGGAGATGTAAACAGACTAATAATAAAGGATTACTCAAGCATGTTTGAATGAAATAAAATGCAACTCCACTGTTTTTGATGAGATAGCAATATTCTAACATTACTTAAAGCTTACAAGCTCAATTTTGTGTAAAATTGGACCTAGAAATATAGTTTGCATAAAACAAAAATGGTAAAAGTTGAAATTTGTGATTTTATTGCCTGATTCTAATGTCATTTTTAATACTTTCGATTGCAGTTTTTACCTTGAACTTTCCCATTTTCCCCAAGAGGAAACAGGGGCTCCATTGGTGGGGGAGGAGGAGGGCGCTCATAGTCAGGACGGATCACATTCAACAAAATCTCATCACGTTTTTTGTTCTCTTCATCATTGTCCTGGTTAGAATCTTCACTGATGCTCTGTGAAACTATTGCACACGCCATTGAGAAAATAACTCCTAATGCAAAAAGCTTCAATATTGTGTTATTACCTATAGGCTCAGATTTCAGAGTTCCCGTTGCCCTGGCGACTTCTTCCAGAGTGGGAAGTTCAAAGGGCTCCTCTTCGGCTGGCGGCTCGTCTTGTGTTGAAGGGGGGGGGGCTAAAAGATAAAGTAGGAGATTGATGTTGATATTATGTAGATTTATGTAACTCCATAACTGAATCACCATGAAAATCTGGTCATTTTCCTTCTAAATAATCACAGCATTTCAGATCTGTCGCAATGGAATTGATGGAAAAGACACACTCTGTGACTCTGACTTTCTAAATAGCTAAAATCTACAAACAAACAAAAAAACTGAACTATGGGACAATCCTTGGTCACTGAGGGTTTAAGCAGACTTATACCTAATTTGCATGTATTTAAGGGCCCATTACATTATTTTCTGATCTATGTAACAATGTTGTTTTCTCATTAAAAAACATACCCGTCTTGTTTTGGTTCATTCACACGTTAAATCCTGGATATTTAGGCTGAGTTCTTCTCTCAAGCTGAAAACACTCTGTTCCACCTTATGATGTTATGTGGTCATACACCAAGTGCTCCACTGTGTTTTAAAACTCCATACACCTTCACTAGAATAATTTGGATAATTTCAGCCCTGGAATTGCAAATCTCTACTGAACAAAAGGTAAAAGGTAGCTGTGAACTGAAAACTACCGCTTTGTGACATCACAAGGTGAAACTGAGAATTTTGAGCTTTAGATATGCAGACAAACCAATAATAAAGAATTATTCAAACATGAAAGAAATGAATGAAAGAAAACACAACTCCAGGCATGTTTTTGAAGAAGAAACAACAATATAACTTGTCTTAAAACTCACAAGAGTCAATTTTGCATAATATAGGAACTTTAAGACTAAAATAAGAGAGGCTTTAGTAGTTTAACAAATAGGTTTCAGGAATTACATATGATTGGAAATATGAATACAGTTTGTAAAATGCATAAACTCCTTTGGTCCTAATGTTACCTCGCCCCTTGCAGTCCATGGCCCAGTGTCCTGTGCCCCCACATTTGTAGCAGGTGTCTCCTTGACGACTGAGTGACCCTCGGAATCCACCTCGTCTCCCTCGAAAGAACCCGCCGCCACCGCCACCAAAACGCTCCCCCTTCAACTGGAACTTCTCCATGTACATCTATGAAATCATTCATTACAATAAGATGTAACCATAGACTGTATAAAAAGATGTGGAATAAGGGAGTGCAATGTCATCCATTGCGTTTGGCTCCAGTCAAATAAAGCTCACGAGTCTAGCAGTTATAGGAGGGAAGTTGAAGCCACGTGCATTTTACAGACAAAGTAACAAAACAAAAACATCAGGATCTTGTAAACAGGTTAATACAAACACTGTAAGACTTAAGACATAAATGTCGAGGCTCACAGTAGCAGTTACAGAGACAGGGGTTATTAGATTTCCTATATAAAGTCAATTGGAAACAGAGTCAGTGTAGCCAGAAGTGCCCCCATGAACACTTCCTATTTAGAACGCAGCAGCTAGCAGTTTAGTTATGTCCAATTATTTGTACAGTCTATAGATGTGATGTTAGGCAATGCTCAATTAACCAAAAGTAGTTTATTTATTTCTATAAACATACCTGCCGCCTTAGAGCCATCCCCCTCAGTGCATATCCTTTCACATGGGATTTCTTCTTTAGGTTTATTTTCACAAAGTTTCCCTCTGTTTTCATATTCCTATAGTGAACACAGTATTTACAGTGTTGTAGAAGCAGTACAGTACTTTGTAATGATATGCACTGAATGTGAGGTGACTTACCTCGGCTTGTTTAAACCAGGCTGATATAGTTTTTTGGCTCCAAAATTTTCCTCCACCTCTCCAAACAAGTTTTCCTGTGGGGGCTGGACAGAAATATGTTTAATTTGAGCAACTGTGTGCACTCTATTGAAACCTACCTTTTTTGAAACATCTCACATTTCTACTACGATACACATTCAGTTACCTTCTTAGGTTCCTTCTCTTTCTTCTCCTCTTCCTCCTCTCCATCCTCATCTCTCTTCTTTTTAGCTCTTTGTTTTTTCACTGGTTTGGGACTTTGGTCGTTAACCTCGCCGTCTGCATCTTTCTTCTTCCTTCTGCGCTTCTTCTTTGCTTCTGTCACCTCTTCCTCTCCTCCCCCCTCTTCTTCCTCTCCTTGTCTCTGCCTCTTTCGCCCCTTTCTTTTGGTAGCTTTAACACCCTCTTCTGAGGTCAGTGGAGGTGTCATTCCTGATGGTTCTAAATCCATGTTCATTTCTTTAATCTCATTGTCAACTGTTTTACTTTTTCTTTTGCGTTGAACACGTTGTTTCTCACTTTTGTTCACCTCAGATTTTAGAACACTACTTGCCAATTTTACTTCTTGACCACCATCACTACCTGTACTTTGACTACTACTGTCCTTGGTGTACACTTTTTCAATTTCAACTTGATTTAATTTTAATTCAAGTTCCTCTTTATCTTTTTTATCTTGTTTTTGTTCAATAAAAACGTCCTTGTTTCCCACAACAGGTTTCTCCTCGGCTCCCAGTTCTCCAAAAACCTGACATCTTTCCAACCACTTCTGGTCAATATGAGTCATTCTGTTTGCAAGAAATGGTTTTGCTGCAGTAATTTTTCCACCAATGCCTCCTCGATAACTATTGGAAAACTTTGGGGTTCCCTTTAATCCATTTAAATCTAGTTCTTCCACGTTGTTTTTGAGCGGTGTTTGTATAGTTTTCCCATTCACTTTATTACCATTTTGGTAATTTGAAGATTCTGTTGTAGTCTCTAAACTTTTGGAAGGAGACAGTGATGAAAAAAGAGAGGATTTTCTGCCAGTAGAAGGCGCTGGACTGAGTGCGGGTTCATTTTCACTGATGGAGTTTGTTGTTTCAGTGAAAGCAGCAAAGGGTTCAAAAGGCTCTTCAGGTTCTTCAGAAGGTACTGACCATGAAGCCAGGGAGCTGGAGTTAAGTCTTTCATGAAAAACAGAATTTTCTTTGTTATATCCACATACAACAATAAAACTTAACTTTTAGCTAAGAAAGTAGGAACAAAATTACTGAATAAATAATAAAAGCTTGTAATAACATTAACAATCTTTAACATTCTTGGTGAATAAATACACAGCTGGAAGGTGAAAGAGGAACAAGAGATAAATTATTCTCAAACCAAGTAATTATGAATGGGTCTTTATGACACTATGGGGACTAAAATCTGTATAACACTCATATTATGGAGAGGGGAACTGCCTCTTATGGATAGAGACATCAGGTTCCCATGACGTAAATCCCTTATTATTAAATCAGCACCAGGTTTTAAAGTTCAGATCTGGGTTAATAAGGTTAGGAAAGTAGTGACTATAGGGTCAGTCTCCAGGAAATTAATGTAATTCAATATAATGTCCCCAAGCACTGAAACCTAATATGTGCGTATGTGTTCTAAAGAAATATCTGTCCTTAGTATTAAAATGTATAAGAACATGTATTAAAAGTACCTTGGAGAGAAGGGGTTGAGCAGAGCAGGTGTGGACAGTGATGATTTAGGAGTAGACACAGGGCTGTTTGTGTGAGCAGTTTGTCCATCTTTCAAAGAGTTCAGCGGCGTCCGACTTGGAGTTTTCTTTAAAGACACTGGCCTCTCCTACATGTCAGATAATACAGGATATTATCACTTCATTACAGCTTTTTATCAAACAAAACTGTGATTAGTGGCTTTACCTTTCCAAGTGCAACTAAATTAGACTTGATCTTAAGACCGTAGTACTGTGCTGAAGCCTTTAGATTATCTTTGTCCTGCGCTGTGAGTTTTGGAGAGGCAACCGGCAGCGACTTACGATTCAAATGTGAACCCCAGCAATCTGTTTCCTATAAAAGAAGAGATAAAAAGCACCCAGTATTCACACTGCCAAGACAATTTACAGATTCCAAGATTTACACACAGGGTATACACACTTATTCTATTAATTAAATTCAAATTATTAAATACAGTCCTTGTTCTACCTTTGAGTTTGAGCTGTCCTCTTTAGATGTGCTCTGCTCAGCTGATTCACTGCTGCTCTGACTGGTGGTGTTTTCTTTAGATTGTTTCAAACTTCTGTACTCTTTATATAATTCTGTAATGACAACAATCTTGTGTATAATGTTAATTTTTTTTAATTCTGTGCATTGCCGTACATATCTCATAGATGCAAACATAGCAAAGTAAATACACTCAACACTAACAAGACTACCTTCTGACACGTAACATGTCATAAATTTTGTATATGTGAGCACTTACTCTTTGTTTCCTCGGGTGCTTGATCAATATCCTCCTGAGAACACAACATGTATTTAGAAACTGGTTTCCTTGTATGTGTGCGGCAGTGACAGATTATTGTACCTTATTGGGTTTCCTCTGGTGCTGTTTGACGAAGTCTTGCTCCCAGTTTTTCAGTAAAACCTTCACTTCATTGTAGCGGTCCATGACGAGTTTTACACTTTAGCTTCAAGAATCAGACTGAAACGGGTTTACAGTCACTGGCAAACATTAGCTACTAGTCATCGCTATTATATGCACTTAATCGGACATTTTTGCTCAGTAAAAATATGCAACGTTATTTCTTAAGAAGCCTTTCCGCAGGCTGCACATGCGCCCGTGCTGTTTACAGTTTTCGCGCCCGGATGACGCAGTCTGGGTTGCCATATCCGCTCTCCATCCCCCGAAAGAGAACTACCTCCGCTTTGACAATCAAACAGTCTATGAGAGACAGTTCGTGATTGTATAAAACAACTTAGGTGACGTGATATGAAAAGCAAAAATTACCTTTTCTTGAAATAACGCTAAATTATTTAACTGTCTATATATTGAAATGAAGTGGTGTGAGACTAGAACTATGTGTCAATATGATAAAGGGGCAGTTGCTCATATCAAATGTAAATGTTGTCTCTGCAAGCCAGAGTTTAGCCACAGTCAAATATGCCACATTCGCTATAGGCACTGACACGAGTTATTGTACTGTTTAGAAATCCAAGACTTTGAAAACCAAATGCAATACAAAGACAAAGATAAGTAAAAATACTTTTATTCTCATAGTTGAGCAGCATTTACAAAACCAGATACTATGGAAGATAGTTTGTTGTAGATATTACTTCTGTCAGTGATGCAGAGGATGAAATATTTGCAATGAAACACTTTATTCCAGTAGAGAAACTTCATGGAAGTAGGCCCCCAGCATCTTGATCCCTTGGATATAGTTAGATCTGTAAAAACAAAACAAAAAAGACCAGTATGAATATGCCATTTTAAAATCAGCATATTGTTTGTACGCTGCTTTTTTACCTGTTTAGTTTCTCATTTTGGGAGTGAGCACCGTCATCTGAGGACCCGACTGGAAGCAGCATCACATTGCGGCCAGTCGCCTCCTGAAATGTCAGTGTGACTGGGATACTTCCTCCTTCACGAGTCAGGTCAGGTTCCACTCCAAATACTAATGAACACAGAAAATATCACTTATATAACATTATACTAGTGCTCTTCTAACTATGGTAAAGGTAACCCAGGTGGAATTCTAATACAATATCTGAAAATCTCTACAAACTAAAATGTAACTCAGTCAATTTTGTTTCACTTTCATTTTGACCTTGCTTTGTGGCTTTGTGTCATCACTGCAAACCAAAAGTCAGTCTGAGTCCCTTTATTAAAAGATGTTTACTCTGATCATTGACTCAGTACCTGTTTTCATGGCCTTACGTCCGGCCATGTAGTGTGGGTGGTTGAAGTCAGATACCCAGGCTTTGGCTCCATGGCCCATGTAGACCTTCAGCTTATTGGGAGTTCCCCGCTCTGCAAACTGCTTCTCCAGGTGTCCGACCACCTAGAGAGAGAATAAATGCATATATGAATGTGGTTTTAGAAGATTTTTGATAAATATAAAATCGTAGTGTACCTTTTTAGTTTTAATAACCAGTGAACTATTTTTAAAAAGTTCCTCCATCAATTTATACAACAATCTTTTTTTGTTAATTATTATTTTCTTCTTACTTATTATTATCTTGTATTTACCGGTAGTAGGAAGAATAGAGCCGTACATGTCCTTATCTGTCCCCCTCTCTTCTTAACTATTTTGGTATTTTAAGGTGCCTTGTGTAACTTTGTGTGTAACCTGCTTGTCTGCACGAAGATGGTATTACTTTGTCTGAAATATTTCACAGTGTAGCATTACACTTATCCATCTTCCATTCAATTATTATGTTTTTATTGCTCAAAGGCCATGCCCACCCACAGTCAGTGCCACACTTTCCACAGTATCTTAGTCCGGCGGCATCTCCTGCTCATTTCCATGGAGATAGTCAAGTTTAATATCATACTGTGAAACATTCCACGCAAAGCAATAACACCATCAAGTAGACAAAAATTTAGGCAAATGCGCCACCAGAAAAGTTACATAATTCACTTTTAATTTACCTGTTTCTCAACAACTTTGGGGTCCATGTCTGGGACGAGGCGGATGGAGAATTTCCCGATAACCTTTCGTGGGATGACAGTCTTTGCTCCAGTTTCAGCAAAGGCTCCCTCTATCCCGTGGAGAGACAGGGATGGGTACCTCCAGCGATGCATCAGGATTTGCTCCTATTAGAAAAAATATTAAATAATGTAGTCAAATTGCAGTAATCCCTTGTTCACTGGTTTCACCGTGTTAGTTTACTCACTTTTGTGTCATGCAACAAGTGACAGACTCCAACATCTTTGCAGTATTCGTCCAGGTCAAAATCTATTTTCTCATAGAGCTTTTTCTCCTCGTCTGTCAAAGGGGCCACATCGTCATATATACCAGGAACCAAGATCTTGCCTTTCTTGTCAACAAGGGAGCCTATAAAGTGACACAGGCACTGTTAAATACTGTCCTTCAAATACATTTACATATACAGTCATTTGTAGATCATTGTATCCTTACCCATCAGTGCGATTAGGTCTGACATGGCCTCGTGAACAGAACCTCCAAACACACCAGAATGCAGGTCCTTCTCACAGCACTCCACCTATAACAATAACATTTAAATAGTCTTTCCCATTAATGGCAGGTTTTACATGTTACTTAGATAAAAACTAACTTGACCTATCCCATATCTGTCCAAAAAGTAAACATGTACAAAAACTGAATTTTCTAATAACAATTTCATTCTTCAAAGTTCATTCTTAAATGCTTTATTGATCCTGAGGGAAATTCAAGTTTTGCTGCAACATTTACACTGCGCTTCTCTGTGTCCTTTGTGTCTCTGTCAAAGGTCTCAGTGCAGTTTAATGGCAGGACTGGTCAGAAAGGGTCAGCAGATCCTGTGGAAGAGCCAAAAGTGTCCCTCATCTGTGTTCTGCAGCATCACAGCAGCCTCTAGGGGGCGCCACATGACCACAATAGGAAAGGCTTAACTCTCATTCTGCTCTGGTGTTTCAGTTGGTGATGAAATGGTCCATTCCTCCAAAGTGTTTCCACAGGACGGTCTTCTGCCACATTTGCTGCTACATTTGGTGTTAAAAAAAACCAAACTGTAGCAACTCAAATTTCCATAGCTAGCTCCATTGATACAGGAAAAACAAAAAGCTCATTTCACAAAATCCAACAGTCCCTTACTTGTGCCTTTTGAACTACACACGCGTCACTTCTTAGTTGGTTAAATTATATGACGTTAAAAACTCCTCAGTGTGTGAGCCAAGTAGTCACAAAAGCAGCCAACCACTCCATTGCCACTGAAGTTGATTCTCAAGCAGATTATTCAAACAGAAAGCAGAATACGCCTTGCAAAAGTATTCTAACAGTACCTAAACCACGCACAAGCATCCAATCATTATTCAGGGCCAGTGCAGGCCTCTGTAGCTCATTTACTGAAAGCTTTGAGCTTCTAAGAAATGTCCATATTCACATTTCTAGTCTGCCACCCGATGTCTTCATACAAATGTCATTGCTTTGTCTAAAATGTTCCACAGTTTACTAGTAGATTAAACCAATGTATCAAGAAGGAGACGAGCAGGTAAGATTACATAACAGTAACATACATTACAGTTTAAATCTGTGGAGAGTCGTCCCCGTTCACAGAAAGAATTTTTGAGCTATAGAAACACCTGTAATGAATAAATGCTAAATAGAAATGTTTAAAGTACCATGGAATATTCCAGGCAATGCAATGACATCTCCATGGAGACTAGTTGGTGACGGACCCTCCAACAGAAACGTTTCTTTTAAACCAGTATGAGCAAAGGCTACAAACCCAACCTTTATTGTGCAGCTACTAAGTATGAATTATACCTCAATGAAGAAATAGCAGATGCCTCTGAGACCATAGGTGATGCAGGGTTTGGTCTTGCCCAGCCAGTAGTTGTCAGAGATGCACACGTAGTCGACGTCTTTAAGGAAAGTGTCTTTCCGTGAAAACACAAGATCATCCAGACCCTCTGAGCCAGACTCTTCCATTCCCTCAAAACAGAATTTGATGTTGATGGGAATCTCCTGCAGCACAAAGAATGAATCAAACATTTTATTAAGAAAGCATGAGAAATCCACAAGAAAACACAACTTTTCCAGTGCTGCACAGAAAAAAACTTTTAAAACAAACAAATGCTCTACCAGTGCTCATGATAACAATGATAAAACCCTAAAACAATAGAGGCCAAGAAAATAATAAATAATCAAATAAATTATTGAATATAGTCATAAAAGATGCAAAGAACTACTTTATATTGAACACACTTCAGATGCTATAATTGCCCCAAAAACTGTGTAGTCCATTTCAGGTCAAAACTCACTAGTAGGGAATAATGATCTGTGCTTATGATACAGTTATAAGCAAAAATAAAAACTCCTTTAGCTTTGAAGACTTCTCCATAAACTACTAGATTAAGATTGTTTTATTATATGAACAATGGTGAAGATGAAAATTTGTCTGAGAAAAAAGCCTTTGAAAAGTTCACAAATCCCTACATTTAACTGTCTTCATAGGTAAGATGAAAACAGGTGACAGCACTTGGTTTAATGATTGATTGTGGAGGGCATTTACTCCCCACGACGGTCGCGTTATACTCAAGACCTTTGATCACATTATGTACTGAAATCCTTAACGTGATCAACAAGCAGCAATCACCCAATCAGGACTGGACCTTAACACTGAAATCTCCAACACAGCAAAGATAGAGCATATTTACCTGAACTGTTGCTTATTTATTTAATTTGATTATATAATTTGTGATGCTGCAAAAGCAGGTTCGGCTGCAGCTGCATTCATCTATAATAATTTCATTAGTGTCACTTAGGTGTGGTGTTTCATTTTAGTAAAACACTTTGTTATGCTAATAAAAGCATTCCTGGGATACATGTTATTAAAGTTAAAATTAGGACTTACTTGTTTGGTCTTCTGGTAAGCCTCAATGCAGTTAAACCAGGCCAAAACAGGACCTTTGTCATCAGTGGATCCTCTTCCATAAAGTTTTCCTAAAAGATAAATCATATTAGTTTCAATAAATAACAGATCAAATATAAATGGTAATAATACATTCAAACTAAGTAGCAAAAATAGCAGGAGACTATTTTTGCTATAGATTTTGATATATGCATTTATATTGTAGATTTTCAGTTATATTATGGTATAGAAAGTTAAACTGGTCACGTGTGGTTTGTAATGTGATGAAATCAGGAGCTGAACAGACAAAAGGAAAGAGGATATGGCTGTGTCTGTCAGCTGACTCACAAAATCATGACAAAGTTCAAGATTTGTTACAGTTGCAATAAATTATTACGGTCTCTACAATTAAACAGACACACTCAGCAATCAATCACATGGCAACCAGCTACTACATCTTCAACTCATCAAGTCATTTAACTCTAATTATCTTGAAAGATGATAAGACCCAGACTCTACCCTTAAACATATGGGTAAGTGGATGGACTTTGGAAATGTGTAGCTAATGGGGATATCAGAAAACACAGACTGATAAAAACAAACTTAAAAGAAAAATAGTTAAGTTGAATTAGAACTACAACATTAAAACTGGTTAGCCTGGTTACAGTGAGGTAGCACCAAAACAGTGCATAGTTCAAATCATTTCACTCTCTGTGGCAAGGTTGCTTAATAGTTTAATTCAGCAGCTGATGTGCCCACCCACAAACTCACTTTAAAATTGCTTTGGGCCATTTTGATCATAAAACAAAAGTGAAAGTAAAAATGTGTTTCATTTACCATCTTTCTCCACCAAAGTAAAAGGCTCTGTGTCCCAGCCATCCTCTAGAGCAGCTGGTTGGACATCCAGGTGACCGTAGATGCACACTGTCTTCTTGTTTGGGTCAGATCCCAACTGTCCCAGGATGATGGGGGGCAGGGGGATTTCTTCTCCAGAGTGTAGCTGCATAACACAAAAAAGTAAAGTTAGAAATCAATATAAGACAACAGTAGTACACGGTAATAGTTATAATATACCTTCTGCTTGCCAATGTCCACCAGCTCCACAGTACCCCCTAATTTCTCAATGTCCTTTGCAGCCATTTCCATCATTTTCTTGATTTCACCACGCTTCTCTGGCCAGGCTGACACACTCTGGACTGCAACCCAATCAGCAAGACGCTTGGAAACAAATAAACAACAACCACGTCACATTTAAGGCATAGAATATACGATTTTAGATCACCCACACACACACACACAACAGAGAGCAAGTCCAGCCACGAATACTGTGCTTTCAAACATTCAAGATAACATTTCAAGACATTTGATTGCTGATAGATACAACGCTTCTAAGTTTTCAAGCTGTTTCTCTTTCAAGTAAAGGCAGACAGACAGTTTGCAGAGTCAATATTGCTTTTCAAAGTTCAACTTACCTTAACATAAAGATCTTGATTCTCGTCCACATATTTAAAAAGTGCTGGGAGGTGAGCCATCTTTACAGCAGGTGAAGTTTACCCAAGCAGAGGACAGTGTTTGCTGGCGTAGCTGGTTGCTGTTCTTCTACTCGTGCTTTCTTATATGGGACAAAAACCACGCCTCTGGTAAAGCTGCTGACTGTTTCGCAAATGACAACACCAGTAATTACGTACTGATAGCAGGATATGTCATTATTGTGGTAAGCTTTGTTTTTGAATCACCTGCGTACTAATCTAAATGGTTTCATTCCAACAAATTGTGCATTCATTCACCACAAAAGCATTCAAAGAAAACTCTTTCCATGGCTAGTCCATAAGTTAGCTTTAGCTTCGTGCAACAAGATGACTTCCTACATCAGATACCCATCATGTGACAATAATCAAAGTTATCCATGATCCATTAAAACTAAGGATGAGACAGAAAGGATATTTTAAACTTACGATTTTAGTCAAGTGTCCCACAATATTCCATTGCCAGGATTCTCGGCCTCTGAACCGCTTCGGACAGATCACGTGACCAGAGCTCCCCACGGTTCAGATATACCCCCACATATACCCTCACCTCCTGCGCGCTCCACTCCTGTGTGACTTTTACGCAGGATGCACCAGTATTTTATAATAATTCTATTGTAAGCACTAGGGATGGGCATGATTAATCGATTAATCGATAATTGATAATCATTAAGAATTTCATCGATTACGTTCATTTTAATCGACAAACCTAATGTAGGTTGCTGTGCGTAGCGTGACCAAACAGGGGTCTGTACATGTAGCTCTGCACTCAGAAGGAGCGAGCAAACACAAACAGTAGGTCAGCCTGCAGCGTGCCGAAGCACAAATGTGTATTTAACGATGATTTGTACTAGAAATTCCACGCTTTCTGTTGCGTTCGGGACAAGTGTGAGTCCTTGTGCACAGTGTACAAAGCAGGAACATATGTTTCGGTGTCCAGTGGGAAAAAGCTTTACCAGGTGAGAGTCGCGCAATGTCGATGACGAGTCCCAACCTCCCACCCCCCGTACAGTGTCCTGGTTTTGACAAACGCAAATATGGTCACACTAACCTGTATTCCACTGAATCATGTCTTTTAATCCGACAGAAATTGACCGCATCAGCGACACAAGAGTACTGTATTTTTATCTTCGCTGAGTTTATGTAAATTGCCGATGCGGTTTTAAGTTTCGTTTCTGTGAGAGTTGCACAAAAATGAATTAAACACGTTATAATGTCAAACGGATTGATGTGGCTCTAGAGTCGTTACGGTTTATATGTCGTAAATTTGAATTTATTTATGCAGATTAGTAGTGCAGATAGTAATAATAATGATGATCATTTTAATATAAAAACGTTAATGATTAATCGATAATCGATCGTTAATTCTTCCGACGATCGATTAAGAAAATTTCATCGAATGCCCATCCCTAGTAAGCACCCATGGCAGTAAAATAAGATCCATGGATGCACCTGTGGATCTGTGGCCGCGGCAGACATTACGCACAATGCACTGCAACTTTATGCCAGACAGATTTGTGTCGATATGACGCAGACTACTCCTTTTGTTTACAGAAGATATTATGCAAGTGACAAATGCACACTGCAATTTACAAGCCCGGTAAATCTTAACTTTAACCTTAACGCTACAAGGGGAGTCAGCAATGAACTGCAAGTGTGTTGTCCGCTCCCGATATTAAAGCAGGTTTGGCACCTTTGAGTCCATCTCATAGCAGGACGGCTGTCCCATGTTCAGATCTGTAGTCCTGTCAGAGGGAGTCAAATAATGCTCGTCTCTTCGGTCACAGCAATTTGTGTTCTAAAATCTGGAGCCCCTGCCCCTTTGTCCTGCGCACGGTTAACCACTAGAGGGCGCTGTAAGGGCGTACTCAGTCTGATGCACTTGATTTCTGAGTCTGATTGACAGTTCTGTTCTGTTTATGCACTTGGCAACGACACATTATTATTATATATACAGAGCAGAGACCAAAACAATATGCCTTTAGTTCGTATATGTACTTTATTTAATAAATGCAATGTTTGCTAATCATAAAATATTTCCAATAACATTCATTAACTCATTAAAAGTGGTATGAACAAGAACAAATCTCAAAAAAATTGTAAAATCTCTGGAAAACATTTCTAACAAATACATAACACAAATTACCATTCCTCTCCATCCTCCTCTCCTTCTCCCTCCACAGAATCAGCACCCACTTCCTCATAATCTTTCTCCAAAGCGGCCATGTCCTCTCTGGCCTCAGAAAACTCTCCCTCCTCCATCCCTTCTCCCACATACCAATGGACGAAAGCGCGCTTGGCGTACATCAGGTCAAACCTGTGGTCGAGTCGAGCCCAGGCCTCAGCAATGGCCGTGGTGTTGCTCATCATGCACGCAGCTCTCTGCAGTTTGGCCAGGTCTCCTCCAGGGACCATAGTCGGGGGCTGGTATAGTTGATGCCCACCTTGAATCCTGTGGGACACCAGTCGACAAACTGGATCGTGCGCTTGGTCTTAATGGCGGCAATGGCAGCGTTGACATTTTTTTTATTTTTTATTTTTTTGGAGCAATATATATTTTTTATGAATATTCATATTGAAATTAGCATTCACTAAAAGGATAGATAAAATACTATATATGGTCATCAACGATTTAAGTCAACTGTTAAACTAAAATACATTTAAAAGTATTATAATACTGATGTGATTTCTTACAAAATAGGCCTGCAGATTTAAAAAAAAAAAAAAAAAAAAAAAAAACGCTACTAAGACCAATTTTTGCTGGCTCTCAGATCCCCCCCTGAAGTAGTCCAAATGTTCTCATGGGCAGTACTTTATTGAAAATTTTAAGATTTCTACCATTATAACTTCTACATCATGCTAACATCCAAAGCTTTATAAAAGACTGCATCCTGATGAAAGACTCTCTGCTGTCTGTATCCTTCCCTTTATATATATTTTTTTTAACACTACCACATTTATTTAGCACTCCTCCTTGGGCCAGTTAAGGTTACAGATACTTATCTTTTTATATAGGCTTTATTGGTATTTATCATTGGATAAATTAACATCGCACACAGAGTATACAATAAAATAGTTTATTAATGTTAAGTCTTCCCCTATGCAGGTCATCTGGAGCGAGAGGCCGCTACATCTGCACACACCGCCATTCAAATGGAGTTGGAAACAGAAGAGAAAAAAATAAGGAAAAGAACTATAGATTTATGCAATAATTTCACCTACAACTTAAAACCCACATTTCCATCAAAACATTGTTCTTCGCATGTTCTCTCCATTGGGAAGCAAACTTCTGTAGAACACATGAAGTATATCTGCACAAAAAAACAATTATATTTTTATATTACATCAAGTTATTCCTAATCCATATGTCTCTTCTAAGTATTTTAAAAAATGTTGCTTACTTCTTCATCCAGATACTGGTTTGTATTTTGTTCCATGAATTGAAAAGCCTTGACCACAAACCTCCTCTCATTCCCAGCTGCACCAAAGTCACTGTTTAAGAGGACGAATGTGTGTGGGTCGTAAGGATTGGCACACCTAGAGAGAAAAGTTATGTGGATAAAGATATAATTATAAATTTTAAAAAAAAATTTAAAAAAGGGCTTTGCTAGTCCCTTACCCTTCATAAACAAGCACTAAAGCATTGGAAGCAGAGCGTGGATATGCAATACAATAGTTGACCAAAATGACCGCCTCTGGAGTTGGAGACAGTAAGTGCAACTGGAGGTAGATTTTTCTGCCCAGCAGGAGGCGCAGGGGCAGATGGTATGTGGGGTAGAAAGAGGAATAAGTCTCATCTAAAAAAAAAAAAAAAAAAAAAGACCCCAATCAAATCTTTGACATGTTTCCTAGGGCCAAGTCTCATTTCTCTTTCCTCGCTTCCTTCTCCTTGATTCCTCTCCTCAATTCTGCAGAAGAAGAGGAAGCCCTGCCCACAGAGACGACGAATCGAGGAGGGAGGATATAAACTCCTCACTGAGACCAATAAAGTTTGATTCTTTTATCTGATGTCTGCCTCCTTCATGTTTACACCTCCCTTCCATGGTTTTCTTTAGGATACCAGTGACACATTTGATTGACAGCTGACAAATGGATAATCAAGGAGAGGAATCGAGAAGGAAGGGGGGAATGAATTGAGATGCAGCCTATGTCAGTTAAGATCTGTGAAGTGGAGGTTGAACTTTGACGCTCAAATTTTTTCTTACATCATTAGGTGGTACAATGAAAGTTTTACTAATCAGTATGGTGAAGTAACTGAACCACATTTGGAATACTCATTTTAATTACTGTAGTTTGGTACAGTTACACTTTCATTTGTTGGTATTCAAAATAGTTACTTTTCTAAAATACATCACATATAGGCAAGTCCCGTTTAACATTAGTCACTCGGATTTTTCTCTTTTTAATGTCTACAAGTGAAGTTTTTCCACTTTGATCCTGATGAGCACCTTGACCTGAACTTTGATGGACCCACTGAAGCGCTCATCTTCCTCTCTTAAATCTAAATACATTATGGTATTTGATCACACAATGTAGGCTTCAAACTGCACATAACTAGTGAGAAAAATAATGAAACAGTGCTCTTGGTAAGTGCGTGTTATTTTTCCTTCTCTAGTTGCAAACAAAGCTCTTTTTAATTCTATGTTACATCTTTACTCTATAGTTTAAATGCAACTCGATGCAAAAATATTAAGTTTTCAGAATACAGTACTTTGACTGGACCATTTATCAGAATACATTACAAAATATTTGAAAATGTATTTAGTTAGAGATTACTGAAGAGCTGCCAATCAGTCACCGTCATTACATTAAACATTCAGTCTAAACTTGGCTCCACTCCAAAGGCATTGGGGATATTGAAATTATATGAACCTTTTGCCATTTTCAGTTCAACCCCGTACAGTCCATGAGAGGAGACAGCAGAGGGCAGTGTGGAGCTGGGAGTTATCACCATGTATCCAGTGCTGGCCAAAGTGTTACCAGAGGAGCAGTAGCGGCACTCAATCAGGAATCTACAATAAAACATTTTTTTTTAAAAAGGTAAGAGGCCAATCAAACAGTAAAACTAAAAGTGTGACATCAATTGTCTCAAAATAAAATGACAGTTTTCACTTTTAAACATTCAGTGGCAAGAGTGACTTTAGATGAAAAGAGAATTGACCATGAAGAAACATATAATGAAACTGGAGCTTTTAAAAGATTTTGTTCTTACCGCAATTGAGCACTTCTTGAAATCGCGCCATATTTTAGGTTTAGAGTCTCAACAGCCGTTTGCACTTCAGCAAGATAAATCTGGGTCCCACCAACTGTCTAATTAGTTAAAAGGGTTAATAGTTTTCATTAGCAACATTCAAACAATGAGGTCAAAAGATGAATAGGAAAAAAAAATTCAAATAGAATCAAAGTTATGTTGAACAATTCAAAAGGTCTTATTGTGCACAAAATTGTTTGTGAGCTTTTAGCCATGTTAGAATATTGTTAACTAAATAAAAACATACCTGGAGTTGTGTTTTGTTTCATTCATACATGTTTGATTAATCCTGCATTATTAGTTAGACTACATCTCCAAACTCAATTCTCTGGTCCACCTTGTGATGTAATGAAGCAGTAGTTTAATGGCTACTTTTGACTTTTCATTCAGTAGACCCTGGCAATTCCAGGGCTGTAATGATCCAAATGATTCTAGTGAATTGTATGGACTAGTGCAATGACACAGTGGAGCACCACACACATATTACCACCTGACATCACAAGGTAGAACTGAGTGTTTTCTGTTTGAGAGAAGAACTCAACCTAAACATGCAGGAATTGTGTGTGGGTGTGAATGAAACTAAACAACTCCAGATATGTCTCTGATGAAGAAACAAGTTTACATAGATCAGAAAATAGTGTGATATGGGCCATTTAACTGAAGTTACAAGTTGTTTTTTGGGGGTTATCCTGGGTTTCAACTTACAAACGTTCTAGTGCCACATTCATTCATTTTAAACTTGAAGACGGCGACAGTGTCCGTGAGGATGACTGGATTACAGTTGGTGCCGGGGATGACAAGGCTGGAAGGGTCCAGGGGGAGGGAGGCCGTGTCATGGTGGATGGAAAACACAAAGTGGAAGTCGCTTGTGCACTCTGAGGGGAGAAGACAGCAATACAAGGGAATCATTTATCATTGAATAACATGTATTTGTCAGGTACATTTGAAAAGATTTGAGTCACAAGACCATATTTATATAATACAATAAAAACAATTGCACAGCAAATAACATGCTAATATTCCCAGGATGAAATGAACACAACTTCTCAAATTAAAATGAAAATACTTGCACATCTGAACCTGGCAAGCACTAGCAACTTATATTGAATGTGCATGTCTCTCTACCAAACACTGTACACACCACATTAAATCCCATTTGTAATACATTTTGTTGTTGGACTTGAACAGTCTTGCCAAGTTGCCGCTCAAATAAATTACGCTTCTGACTTTACTAACATTTGTATACACAGAATAACATTACTTTCACTAATCTTGTATAGAAAAAGAATAAACTTCTACCATCCATTGGGTAAAAGCAGGAGGCCTGATACCAACAGCAGTCCAGAGCATCACATTCCTGTTTACTCATCCAGGCACCACCACATGGCAAACGCTCCACAGTGGGGAAGGCACACTCTGAAATATGACACATTCAAGTTAACAAAAATATTTCAAGTACACAGGACACAAAATTGATTCTTGTGAGCTTTAAGTCATGTTACCTCCTCAAAAATCATACCTGGGTTTGGGTTTTGTTTTCACACATGTTTGAGTAATCCTTTATTATTTGTCTGTCTACATCCCCAAAGCTCAAAATGCAGTGGTTATTTTAATGTTAACAGCTACCATTTACATTCAGTTCAGTAGACATTGGCAATGATTGCAGTGAAGGTGCACAGAGTTTAAAAACACAGTGGAGCACTTGTATTACCACATGACAAAGTGGAACAGTGCGTTTTCCATTTGAGAGAAAAACGCAGCCTAAATATGCAGGTTGTGTGCGTTAAACATGTGTAAAGGAAACAAAACTCCAGGTAAGTTTCTGATGAGGAAATATTATAGCAGATCAGAAAACAGTGTAATATAGACCCTTTAAACAGTCCATTATCCAGCTCTATTCACAAATGAGCCATTACTGTGACTCCTTCCACTAAACCAATAAACGTGATATTTTAGCAATTTCAGCTGTTTAATACTTTGGACAACTTTGAAGATAACAGCTCATTACAGACTGGGGGTGTGTTCATACTTGCACTATCACCACATTTAAATTTGTTCTCATCTGGGACTAAATTTGGAACTAAACCAGGACCAGTCAAATCAGTCAACATTAGAACTCAATTTGGTACCAAAAACGGTGGGTGAACCTGGGAGGTGCCATTTGGGTCTTGTCCCAACATAACATTGCATACATTTCCAAGTGTAGTTTTTGTTTGGACCTGTTTTTATAAGAGTTTCTAACATTAAAATTTTTGTAAATGAAGAATAAAACCTACTTGGTGTTGTGGACAGCACTGGTAGCTGTATTACTTGGTGTTGGTGGTGGTGTTGGTGGTGTTGATGTTGGTGGTGTTGGTGGTGGTGTTGATGGTGGTGGTGTTGATGGTGGTGGTGTTGTGGATCCGTGGGATGTTGTACAGTGGAAGGGGCTACTGTAGTGAATGGGCAGATCAGGGAGGTTTGTTGAGGGTTAGTCCAAGGAGACAGTCCACTTTTAACAGATTTTGGTCCAGGACAAGTAGCAGTACGGACTTGAGACCCTCCAGACAAAAGCAGCTGTAGAGTCCAGAAGTCCATCTCCTTAAAATAAAATGATGGTAAACAAAACATAATAGGTAGAATGTAAAAAGCTATTTTAAACGGCACAAAAAAAGACCTCTTGTACCCATGGTCCCTTTGAGTTTTAGCAGCCATTTTATAAATGTTTTCACATTTTCAATCTACAGCTGAGATGTAAAAATCTTTCACTTTTAATAGGAATAACAACCACTGGCAAGTACTGTATTTTTAAAAGGCATAATGTGTTGTCCAAAGTGGTTAATTTGGTCTTATAATTTATTAGGTTCTTTTTTCAGATCAAGAGTTTTTCATACCTGACAGTTTCAACTGCTCACTAACAGTCTTCCTCAGAGTGGTCACGTGATGTTGCTGTGATGAGTCAGTCATCTGATTTATACAGGATTTGGCGTGGTCTTCCTACCGGTGGAAGCAGGATGACATCGCCATCTGCAGTCTGACTTCCACAAGACAGTATCCCAGGTGTGTGAATAAAAATTTTAAAAAAGCCCCCTCGTCCCGGTGTATAGTTAGTGACACTGCAGTATAGTTATAATAGTTAAACTCTTGCTCTGAAAAAAATAATCTAATAAAATAAGGCATTATATGTGTAGTTTTTAAATGTAGACTTTTCTGGCAATTTCTTCTACCATCTGTCCAATTGGGGTTCATAAACTTACCTCCTTTTTGACAAAGCACCCGGTAAAGGGCACAATCAAGATCCCTTTTTCTTTGTTCAGATTGTAACCACAAGATTTCGCTGCATCCTGAACACTCAACAAGTCTTTAGGGCCTAGAAAAAAATAAAATCAACAAGCCCTTAAAGTAATGTATAATTCATAAAAACAAAAAGAAAAAAAAAAACACATCTACTGCCATCTATTTACCGATGATTTTAACTTCAGCCACTTCCTTTATAGACAAGGCGATCTTAAATGCATTTGTAGTACAAGAAAAGTGGAATCCAGTAGGGTCCTCCTTTTCAGGGCCAGGTTTTTCAGTAGGAGGAGTTTGAGGTTCATAAAATCCAGATTTTAAATCATCATCATCTTCCCCATTGTCATAATATTCATCTTCTTCCTCCTCATCATCATCCTCATCAGCATCATGCTCGTTGTAAAATTGAACAGGAAGTTTTACGTGGGCATCAGGCTTAACTAAAATATTAAAAGAGAAAATTAAAATACAGAACTCAAAGCAACAAATTACTTTTTTTTTTTAATTAGGAGTACATTTTACTTGTAATGTAGGCCTATTTTATATACTGATACTTTGCAGCTGATGTGTGTGTGATGCTAATTTAAAGGACTACTCATTCTGAAGCTCTTAATCAGTTTTGTTTTAACACAATCTGATCATTTCAACTGAATCAGTTTTTTCACAACATTTGAGATGATTTGTGTTATTTAACAAATCTTTCATATATTTAGTCACAAGTTAGTTAGCATTAGAAAGTGTTAGTCACAGTCATCTTTTTATTGAAAAATCAAACTCCTAAACAGGACCATGAATGTTTGTGTTGATCACAAGCTCTTGAATGTGTGTCGTTTAAATCCATTTTGCATTTTATCCTTGAGTTTTCAGACTTAAAACTTTTTTTTTTTTTTTAAATCATTGTGTGCATTGTCACTACGGTTACTACAAAACATTCCATTATAGGGGTACATGCAGAACACCCCCAACATGATGTCAAGTATCAACCCTTTACAACTGGACTACCGTTTTTTTTAAAAAATATTATTATTTTATGCTAGTTGCACTTGTTGTCGCACTAGTTTTGACCAAAGAAAAGACAAATAGCTCTTGTTTTCTTAGAACTTTCACTCATTCAGACAGAGCACACATAAAAGTTTATTGGACAGTTGTTCACCTGCATCAAGGGAGTACCGTCCAGCCAAAATGTCCCTTAGGTTGTGTGAGTTGGTGATGTCGATCCATCCCTGGACCAAACTCAGCAACAGCAGAGTCCACGTGAGGAAGGCCACAAACTCGACCCTGTTCAGACCCATTTAGACGGAGATACAGGAGACAGAGGAGAGCCTCGTGCTGTCCAACTGTAAAGAGAAGCAGGAGCACCACACCAGATCCAAGTAACTTTGGAGGTAATGAGTCACACCTGGTGGCTGTCAGTTAGTGCCTGGCTATTGGACAAGATTTAGCATGGGAGGAAAGTAATTATTATTTTTATTTTGGAATTATTTGAAAAAAAATTATCAACCTTTTAACGTCTGTGTTATGTCTCATTTTAAAAAATATTGACTGCAATGCATAGGCCTACATGTGTGGCAACAATAAACTTAATGTTATTAAACAAGCCTAGATTCGTTTGTTGTGCTCATAACTTTTCTTTGGTGGTTTGTGAATTTTATCTTTATTCAGCATTTTGATGTTTTAATCAATCTAAAAGTTTCATCATCTTCTTCATCACACAAACACAAAACTGATGGACAAAGGGCTTTATTGTAGGACAAACATCTTTATCAACTTAATCAATGTGTCTTTTTAAGACAAATTTGAGTTAACAGACTATTCAGTAGCCTTGATTGTTTAAAAAGTGTCAACACGCAACTGAAAACACGCAAGTAAATAAAAGTATAAACTAATATATTCATAAAAGAGGGGGGTTAATCACTTGTAGGCGTTTGCTTTGTGTTTGGGAAGGAAGTTGAAATTTTTGGGAACAGGTCCAAGCAGCATTTCACTAGAAACAAAAAATAAAACAACTTTGTCAGGATTATTTGTTATTTGCTAAATGATCAGAGAGTGATTTTGTAGTTTTTGGGGTTTTTTTTCCATACCTGATTCTGACCCAGTCGCCAACATTTTGACTTGCCATCAGTGACTCGAGATAGTCCCGTCCCATGTAGTACGGAGGTCGCTCGTTGATCTTCTGAGGCACTCGCTCCAATAAACCAACAGGAATATATCTAAAATATGACATATTTACACACATGGGCCATAATTACACCTATCACAAAGTACACTACACTATATTGTTGCAAGATATATTGCAATAAGCACAAATATTGGACTACTCCATTTTAAAAATTACCTACTTGTCTCCATGGAGATGTTATTGCTTTGCCTGGAATGTTACATGGTATGACTTTAAACATATCAATCTGGCATTATTATTCATCACAGGTGTCTCTATTGATCAAAAATACAATAATCCCTTTTGTGAATAGGCAGGACTCTCCACAGATCTGAATTGTAATGTAGCATAGTGCTGTAACCTGCTTGTCTACCTCATGATGATAGGTTTAATAAACACTGTGGAACATTCTAGACAAAGCTATAACGTCCATGAACACAAGCATGCGGCAAACCGTCCACTAGAAATGTTACACAGTGCACCTTTAACACTGTAACTTCCTTATATTCAAGCAAAATTTTAATTGTAGCTAATATGAATAAGATATGAGCAGTTGAATGGTAAATTGGTGAATCAAGTACAGTAACAAGTCTATCCATACCTCAAAAACTTCAAAAGATCATTCACATATTACCTGCACATAAAGGAGAGCCATTCTAACATGAAGGTGCGAGTCTTCTCCACTCCGCGTGTGTCCGAGCCCCAGTGCTCCAGGCCGTAGTTGGAGAAATCTCTGAGGATGTCCAAACGTTCACCAGACGAAATATCCCAATGTCTACTCTCCTTGATTTCAGTGAAGATCCATGGTTTAATCAGAGCTCCCCTATAACCAGACATATTATTATGATTGTGACGAAAAAAAGTACAATATCAACAGTTAAAGGGTCCATATTATGTTATTTTCTGATCTGTTAAAATGTTGTTTCTTCATCAAAAACATACCTGCAGTTGTGTTTTGTTTCATTCATACATGTTTAACACACAAACACTGCATATTTAGGCTATGTTCTTCTCTCTTCTTTTAAACTCAATACACCTACACTTGAATCATTTGGAAGATTTCAGCCCTGGAATTGCCAGTATCTACTAAACAAAATGTTAAAAGATAGCTTTGGAGTTGTAGGCAGACGAGTAATAAAGGGTTAGTCAAACACGTGTGTACGAAACAAAACACATGATTTCTGACATGGATAAGAGTTAACAGTCAAACAATTTCGCATAATATGTGGACCTTTAAACAACAAATTATTACAATATTTTTACCAACCTCGCTATCATGATACCAGAAACTCCAGTCTCTCTTGCTTTCATGGCATCTTCATAGGAAAGTATGTCTCCATTACCTACAATTCCACAAAGAGAACACCAATAGTTCAGTCTATTTGTTTATTATTTGTTCACACACATTGCAAAGTGAGATGAGGCATACCAAAAAGAGGTACAGGGCTTGCTAGCTCGGAGCAGCTGCTGATGTAGTCCCAGTCGGCTAACTTTGTGTAGCGCTGTTCTCTGGATCGACCGTGTAGCTATGAGGATATTGATAGTTTAGCTTTATTTCATCAAGGAAAAGTAGTAAGTACTTAAGTAAAAATAAATAGTGGACACTTAAAGGTGCATTGTGTAACTTTTCTGATGGAGGGTCTGTCATTGCTTTTGGAGATGTTATTGCCTTGTCTGAAATATGTCAAAGTATGGCATTAAATCTTTTAATCGTCATGCAGACCAAATCAGATCAAGTCACTCACAGTTAGTTCAAGGTATTTTTGAGCTATAAACCCATCTGTAATTGAATACATGTAATGCAAAGCTGTTAAATGTCATACTGTGGAACATTCACTATATTTTTTTACTGGATTGGAATGTACTTTTTTTTTTTTATCGTTTTGAGTCCTGCTGAAAAGGCTAAGGTGGTTATTTTTTTTAACATGCTCATAGTTTGAGCGAACAAAAACATACAAATAAAAAGAGCTATTGATTGAATTAACATTTTAAGTTTTATTAGCTCTCAATATCTGCATGAAATACTTTTTACTTTTTTTAAGTAAGCGGGTACTTCAATACTTTTACTTAAGTGGCTTTTTTCATGTGATACTTTATTTTTTGTATATTATCATAGGATAAGAGAAGTTTAATGTTTCTTCACTAAAACTCACCGTGATCATAGAGACGCCCCATTGCTTGAATTCTGGGATGAGTTTGTGAGCGATATTGCACTTCTCCTGTACACCAGTTCTTATCTTCACTGTTAGAGGGACATCTAGAACCTTTAAACAGTACAGACATTTACTTAAACACTTGATATAATTGATAAGTCAATATTATGCATAAAACATAAAATAATATTTCTCACATAGTTCATTCCTCTTATTATTTGTTCAAATTTCCTGGTTCGTGTCATCAGACCACAGCCGCCACCCTACCAGAAGCAGATAAAAAAAAACAATAAGTAAGGCTTTTTTTAACCCAATACCTCTTTTCTTTTATCATTTTGAGAGTATGTATACCCAACACATTAATAACAAAATAAGCATAATACATAACAAAAGATAAAACAAACACACATAAAATAAAACCACAAAAGAATTGTAAACAAAAGGAAGGAGAAGTAGTACAGAGTTTCTCAATGCAATGTTTGATTTGACAGCCCTAAAATGTAAATACACACATGCAAATTTACATTTACATATTTTCTGTTTCCTTGTATATTTTGTTTTCGATTTATTTATCTTTTTTTTTTTGGCAACCCAAAAAGATACTTACACACACACATTACACCTGCACGCTACACAAGCATATATATAACCCAATACATCTTGAACATTTAGACTGTTTGCACCTTTTTGTAAACAAGATCAATGGGGCATCCAGAGTTTATATCCACAAAGTCGACCTCTATGTTGCTGTTGATGAGCTCTGCACATCTTGTCATTGTGTCTGGAAAACAACCCTCCAACTACAAAAGACAAATATAGAAGTTTGATGTTGATTTTAAAAGGTCCTATATATTACACAAAATTGTTTCTTGTAAGCTTGCAAGTTAGAATGCTGTTACTTAAACAAAACTATACCTGGAGTTAGGTTTTGTTTTATTCACACATTTTAGTCTGTCTACATCTCCAAAGCTCAGAATGCTCAGTTCCAACATGTGTCATGAAGCAGTAGTTTTCAAGGTAACATCTACATATCTTTTACCATTTGTTCAGTAGAGATTGGCAAATCTAGGGCTGAAATTATCCAAGTGATCTAGTGAAGGTGTATGGTGTTTAAAAACACAAATGACCACTTGTATTGCCACATGACATCACAAGGTGGAACAGAGTGTTTTCTGTTTGAGAGAAGAATTTAGCCTAAATCTGGAGGGTGTGCTGTGTGTTAAACATGCGTGAATGGAACAATACACAACTCCAGGTATGTTTGTGATGAGGAAACAGCATAAATCACATCAGAAAACAATGCAATATGGGCCTTTTAAACTACAAAAATCACCTGAACTCCAAAAACATCTTCACATTCATGCCTCTTTAGTAGAGCCCACTCAGACTGCTGTCCCTGGAGCAGGTTTGTGCACATGGCCATCTCCCCACACGTGATGTCAGCTCCAAAACGCTTACAAATGCGCCTGAATGGCAAATTTCCACACTAAGAATAAGGAACAATTACATATACCCAAGATGTGATCAGGCTCTATGCTAAATAGAAAGGGGCAGTGATACATACAGTTGTTAATGGTGCCAAGTAGAGTTTGTCCTTAAAGTCAACCTGAAAACACATTTACAAAGCTTATTTACAAACTACAAAGCACATTTACAAACTATAACTTTATCATATCACACACTGCTCAGATAATGAAATTAACATTTTACCTGCTTCTTTTCACAGGGTCTTAGTTTGATAATGTCTATATCTGTTAATGGGCCAACAGTCTTAACTTCAGCCTGTTTTTCTGTGTTCACCTGCAAAAAATACATAACTTGATACAATTCATCTTTGTAGTAAGAAATCAGAAAATCAGAAAGATCAAATATTTCCCCAAGAACTACCTGAGTTTCTGTCTCTGTGGACACTTGTTGAACCTCTTCAACTTTATCTGCAGATGTATTTTTGGCACCTGTCCAAAAAAACAAAACAAAATGTAATGCAGTTTATAATGTTAAATGCAGAAACTATATGAAAATTATATGAATGGCTATTTAAAAGGAACATATGAACAACAAATCAACAAACAACAAATAATGTACCATTTTCTTGTTGTTCTCTCTTCTCCTTTTGTTTGGCCAGGGCTTTAAGATATTCGTCTGATTTGGGGAATTTCACGGAGCGCTTCCTGAGACTAATTTGGAGATCTTTGCTCAAACTATTCTTCACAATGTTTCTTCCCTCAAAATCCTTCACTAGATCTGTCTTTTCTATTGTTTTGAAGTCTGCTGTTGTGTGTGCCATGGCAAAGCGACAAGAGAGAGTATAAGGGCACTTTCCAAACGTGTCATAGAGGTAACACTTCTCCCCAATATCAGCAGGTTTGGTCTTCATATACTCCGCTATGTCATGGTAGAAATGGCATTTTTCTCCATAGGAGCATTGTTTGTCGTCCTTTACATGAATAGACAAAAAATAAGAATTATATAGTAAAAGCAAAAATCAACCTAAAGCAAGAATTGAAAGAACTGATTTATGAAAGTTTATACCTTAAGGATGGAGAGACAGAGGCGTTTTTCATCATATGCGGTAGGTTTAGTGTGAGGTCTTGACTTGTTCTGTCCACGCCATTGCTTTTTATCTGGTTTCTCACTTTTATTATTATCAGTATCTAACTTGGGTTTCTTAGCTTCAGGCTCATCCACAGCTGTCACCTCTGCATCTTCCTTTGCATTTTCATCACCACCTTTGGCTCCATTTGCTTTCCAGTTTGAATCGACAAACTCATGAAATGCATCTTTAGTGGTTAAAAATCTGGAGGGAAAAAACAGATATATATTTTTGAATCACTTAAAGAATTTATAAAGAATGACGGATTGTGTTAAATATAAAGTACTAGTTCGACTGACTTGGTTCACTACTTTGCAAGCTCATACATGCGATGGCTAGAGGATATGGGAACTAACCACGCTGTTGGTTTTATGAATCAGCTGACAAGACACATCTTTTCAAGTTTATTTTGACCCTTTACATGCAACAGAAACATGAACTACTGACATGATTGTTTGTTTGTGACATTTAATTTCCAAATAATCCAATTATGTGGAAATTAGTCTAAATAATTTGTGGATCAATAAAGTTTGTCTAAGTCTAGCGTGTAAAACATTCTTGATAGTGTAACTTACTGTGGTTTGATGTAGGCCTCGCCCTTCACAGCAGCATCTGTTGTATTTGTTGCAGAACTTTCCTCTACAGTTTTCTCCATTTTACTTCAATTAAACAGTAATAATAATAATAATAATACAGTACTCCAGATCAATGAGTGAGAGCCACTTGGGTTTACTCCTAAACTGACAAAATGAACACAACAGGAAGTAATAACATTTTATAACAAGTTGTAATTTACTTAATAGAGCTATACTTTAAAAGATCACTCACCAATTTAGTAACTAGCCAAGATCAGCTTTGAGTGAAAATCTGTGGTGAAAAACCAAGAAGCATTGAGAGTTTTGTGAAATGCTACTGTGCTAACTGTACAAAATTTCTGTTTTATGACGCGGATAACACTGGACAAAATGCAAATCTCTTGCTTCGTAAAATAGACACACTGTATAATCTGAGATCGAAACAAACTGTATGTTTGACACTTGTCTCTTGCAGCGCTGACATGAACAACACAACACTGACGGCATGAGTTTCGGAGTGCAACCCTTAAATAGGTCCGAACAGAACAGAAGATGCGAAAAAGGTTCCGAACTGAGTCAAGTGATTTCCCCCTTTATACACTCATGTGCTGTATTTTTTAATGTAATGTATGCCTGTTATTTGAAAACAGGTATCACAGTTGTATCAAAGCAATTTAAAAGTTTGTAGACAAAAAAAAGTTAAAAAGGCTACAGAAAAGAAGACAGTCAGCTGGGTTTTATTGAAAATGTATAGCCCTTTTACTTCATTACACTGAAGTAATATGAAATGTGTGCAAAATGTACAGTGAGTGCAGTCTTCAGTTACATAGATACATTCTGGATGATGGCACTTCTTCATTAGACTGACCCTTCTGGTGGTGGGGCAGACAGTTTCTTCATCTTTGCATCAAATCTTTTTCGACTCAAGTCTAAAATGCTGATGCCATTTTTCTGAAAGTCATATCCAATACTTTTTAGCTCCTCTATTTTTCCCATAATATTCTGTGTGCTGTAGTCTAATACCCTGGGCTTTTCCACTATCTGTTTAATAGTTACTCCTTCTTTGATAAGACAGTCCAGTTTGTAGTTCAGAGTGTCAGGCCCAATGTACAAAGCCATAGGATACTGTATGATCAATTTCTTAATGTCTGATTTTTTGCATTCAAGTGCAAGCATTTTCTGTTGAAGGTTATTGAAATTTTTCTTCAGACATTCATTGGAAAGATCCAGTATCTCCGACGCTGAACCTTGAAGCAAAGCCAATAGTTCATGGTCTTTCAGTTGAAGAGACTTTTTAAAATAATCAATATTATTTTTGACTCTTTTAGTACTACGGATTAAAATATAGAGATTTTTTGAGATTACACTTTTGGCAAATTGCTCTGGGTTGTCTCCTCCAAATGTGGCACAGGCATCCTTCAAAAACTCAACCATTTGTTTGTTCAGTTCAACGCTATTAGAAAATGTCCGTGGGGCTGTGGTCAATAGTCTGTGCAGATCTTTTGAGTCGAGTCCTAAAGAGGATAGAAAAGCAATATTTTTCTCTAGATTTTCATTATCGCTTGTTCTAAAAAATGATTCAGGGGATCTATCCAGGATGCTAACAATTTCCTCATCGGATTTGAAAATATTCCTCCATAATCCCCATCTTTTCTCAAGGTGATCAATAGAGCGTGTTATAGCTCGAGGATAGCGCGTTATGACACTTGCAATTACTTTGCGACTTGCCCCTTTGCCTTGAAGAAACTCTGCCACTCCTTGTTCATTTGTGAAGATTTTACGAAGCACTCCAGGCTGGCGTCTGCGGGCCATCTTCACATCAACACCCATGAGGTTAAGGTTTTCCAGCAGAGATTCATTTTCTGGGTTGGGTACAGGTTTTGGGTCATCGATGACTATAGGAGTGGCATTACACAGCTGCCTTGAAAAACACTGTGACGTTCTTTGAGCTGCAGTGAAGCCAAAAGATGCTCGATGAAGAAAAGCTCTGACTCCTGCTGCCATTTTCAGTCCATCAGACAAACATCTGGAAGTTAAACAAGCAAGAGTCAGTTCGATAGCAATCTCTCCATAAAAATGCAAAAGTGATAGGTCATGATGGATTGGACAGGCATTTTGAACATAAACAAAAATACTACACATAAAAACACTAAATAAAAACTGAAAGTAGACTCCGCCATTGCACTGACTACTGTTACAATAACAAATAAAACACTGAAGGTTTACTTCTATTATACTTTCTATTTTTCCACAAGAGTTTTAGGGTCTACCTACAGAGCAAAGAATCAAAACGTGTTCTAGATCTAAAAGGTGTCCACTGAAATATTTAGAGAAAATAGCAGAGTAGGGCTGCCATGATTGCTTAAAATAACTCCTATAGAGTTAAGATAGGGTGACCAGAAGTCCTCGTTTACCTGGGCTAGTCCCAGTTTTGAGCCTAGTATCCCCTGTCCCAGCAAATTTATCCAAAACCAGTGATTTGTCCCAGTTTTATGCAAGAAATGTCCCTGGTGTCCCCATTTTTGACCAATTTGATACCTGCCAACACTAAAGAGAGACAGAAACTGTCTAGGATTTTTGTTTCAGGTTTTTGTTTAGGACTACACTGACTCACATGTTATCGTGAATAAATCAAGTTTCTTTACTTACGCGCTCGTTTCACAATTATATTATTATCAACCACGACCAACCCGGGGGTGTCCAAGGTATTGACTTTGAAAGTCTTCCTATGTTTTATTGTTTTATCAATACCAGAATCTGAACGAACTAACATGCTACTCAACGTGATAAAGGGAAAAACACACCTTAAAAACTTACGTTGAATGAGACCTGTTCCGTGGTAAGATTTGGCAGGAAGGCGTTTCCGGGGAACACGCAAAGTGAAACTTCACAAATTCTCGCGATAATTGGATAATTGGAGCCATCTAGTGCTGTTCTCATTTTAAACACTAGATGGAAACAAAGGCTGAACAGGATTGTACAGGTGATGTTCCCGTAGGTTTAACTTTTTAACAAACATTGGATTACCTTCATGGCCATGATTTAGGCCATGGATCTATTAAAATAACTAGGGTCTATTCTTACCAGCACTTATTTTGACAGGATATTTATTTGTATTCTATTTACTGTATTTTCTTCCTAACTAAATAAAAAAATGCCAACAAAATTTGATTTGATAAATTTATGTGAAATTAGTTTAGCCTGTATTCTGTCAGTAGGTTAAATTGGGTGCTATGGGTATATAAATGGGTATTTTATTCACTGACACCTTTTCCAGCCAGCTGAACCTTAAACGGGGTGCACCCATAAAGCAATATCAAATCTCAAACTACAGTGGTCTCACAATCCCCTGAACAGGCACCAAGACAGCAGACAACACATGTTCATTTTGTATTTACAAAATATAGAGTGACCAGATGTCTCTATTTACCTGGGACAGTCCCAGTTTTGAGCCCTGTGTCCCTTGTCCCAGCAGATTTATACAAAACCAGTAATTTGTCTCAGTTTTATACAAGAAATATTCCAAGTGTCCCTATTCTAAACCAGGACTAAAACAGGACTATTACATTTTTTGACTAATCTGATCCCCACCAACAGTAAAGAGGAGCATAAATTGTCACTTGTTTAGCCAAAATACAGAAAAACATGTTTGCAGTGAAAGAAGTCCCTCAGATTATGACTGACATAAGAATACATGATCTTGCAAGCTCTTTTCACAGTTTTATTTATACCAACCGTCCCAACCTGAGTGTGTCCCAGTTTTAAATTTTGAATATCTGGTCATCCTAATTTACAATAGCTCTATTTCTTCCCTAATGTACCAAATCATTAGGATTATCTTTACCTCTGAACCATTACTTTTTTTGTGCATCAATAATTAATGCAAAACACAATGCTCTTGTTGCCTGAGTGGGGGCATTTGCCATGTGTTGTGGCTAACAGCAGTGAAAAGCTGAATGACCGAAAGCCTTTCAGCTGATGAGGCCCACCACTACCTTTCATGAATATTTAAATACAACACAGTGATATGTATTTCATTACACAGACAACCTTTCACTCCAAAACCTCCAGGAAATTAAGTGTTTTGATGTCAATAGTTCATTTCCCTGATTGTCTGAAGATGTTCTCAAAAGGACAATTCTGTAATCCTCATCATATCACTGTGTAGGCCTATGTTTACACTTGACTGGTTTCATTTTGCATAGTAATGTGATGAGAGCTGCTCTTGAGATCTCTGAAGCTGATTGGTTTGAACAGTTTTATTCAAGGCCATGATCAATGAGCAATGGTGAAATTAGGATACAGTTTTAGCTCAGTGTTGAGTGATGCATATAAACAAACAAAAATAAATAACCATGAATATTATTTAACGTTTTTTTTTTTTTTTTTTTTTTTTTTTTTTACAATGGCACATACACCTTTACATTAGATCTCAAAATATTAATAACCAAAAATCTTAGAATAAGAATTAAGATATAATCCAGTTTATTTGGGCTATTTAAACCTTACTGTTACATTTACTAAAAAAAAAAAAAAAAAAAGGCTACAAAAAAAGGCTACAGACTATACTGCAAACTGAAAAGTATGTCAATGGTGTAGTGACTGTGCAGTTGTTTAGTAACCATGAGGACTGTGGTCCTAATCCTGCCCTCACTGTTCATACTGCCCCAGAATGGAAACACACGTCATGTCTGTAAATGTGAAGTGAGTGATGGAGGTCGGAGGGGCCACATCTGTATCAGCCCCAAAGCTGCGGCTACAAGTTGCTTAAAACTATGAAACATATTCCTGATTAATGCTAAAAATATTTTTGTTTAAGTAACATTTTTCATAGGCCTATTTCAGTGAGGGTACACTTGAATAAATATTGGCATTTTTCTTATAAATATTAATGCCACTCTGATGTGGTGCATTTGTTGTGGTTGACTAGCCTATAAGTTGCTTGGGTAACTGCTGACATACTACTCCTTCTGTCAATCAATAATTTACAAACAGTTGCAAACTTTCAGATGCTCAGTCATTTTTACAGACGCCTGAGGACTCTGTAAATGGAGGAACTACGTTAAAGATGTCCAAAAGACGATGGGTGGAATTAAAAATTTGCCAGACAATAAGCTGTTCCGCTCCGGTCAGTCACAGGCCAAGGCCCTCCTCTTCATCTGCTGCTGCCTCTGCCACAGGTATGTTTACAACTGTAATGATTCAGGATCTGGAAACTGGAGGTGACATGCTGTCACAAACACTGTAAAAAGTCTAATCTAAATACATTTTGGCTATTGTCACGCATGTTCACATATAGCCATGGCTTAGTATGATGTGAATTTTTGAAAATCACAAATCCAACTGGTTATTTCTGTGTTTATTGACACGTATTGGCAATTGCCGCTTTTTAACTTCTTTTGATAAGAACTTGCATCAATTAATTGCAATAAAAGACCAAAACAAAATTGAATCATAGATAGCTGCATTTGCATTGTAGAGCATACATTTTAATAGTCTAATAAGTATTTGTGACCAAAGTGGTCAATTCTAAATTAAAAACAATAAACATACAGTTATTTTAATCTCACATACCAGATTTGATCAACTTCATTGCAAATAACTGAAGAAAAAAACATACATTTATTTTTTTCAATTTGTATTAACTGAGCAAACTTGCATAATTCTGTTTCTGACAAACCATAATTTAAATCCAGTACAGATGATTTCATTTACTCTGAAATAGGCCAGATGACGTCTGTAAGTAAGCTAAAACAAAGTTCACTCAGTCTTGTATCAAGGCCACCTGTCCTAGAAAATGAAGCTCAGGCCTTCTCTCATGTTACCTGCTGTATCTTTAACAAAAGAAGCTCAAGTGTTTTACTTTCTTTAAAACATCAAGAATAATGATCATATAATTATTCCTGAGGTGAGGATTGAATGAATTTTAAATGCAAATGCTTCAAAAGTATAAAAAGTACTACTGAGTTTTCCTCCAGGTTACCATAGAAACAGGGCAGACTTTAGTTTTAGAGACCCTTTCTTTCTGTCAGTGAGTGTTAGACTGTGACTGTTGGGATTATTAGTCAATATGGAAATTATGCAGCAAATCCCAATAACATATGGTTGCACAGAGTCACTTAATGTAGATGAATAATATTTTGTAAATCCTTTCCCTCTTCTAACCTTGTATCCATGGTCTAGTAGTCAACTAGTCAAGCCATATTGTGTTATATTAATATGCATTGTGCAGGAATGTTGTATACGTTATGGTATGCATAACATACAGTATGTGTAGCCTGTGTAGCCTACATTAATTAACAGAATAAATATGTGTAGCCTACATTAGTTAACATAATAAATTAGGGTGACTAGATTCTCAAAATGAAAAGTGGGACATACCTGTTTTTGTGAAATTGTGAAACAAGGGCATAATTAAGGAAAACATTTCTTGCACTTGGCACTAATGTGAGTCAGTATAGTCACATTTTCTTTGAGTTTTGGTCATTTTTAAGTAGCTTTTCTGTATTTTACCTCAACAAATGACAATTTATACCTCTCCTTACTGTAAGCAGTGAGAGGCAAATTGGTCAAAATAAGGGACATCTGGGGACACAGGGCTCAAAAATTGGACTGTCCTGTGTAAATAGGGACGTCTGGTCACCCTATAATAAATATGTGTAATTAACCTAATTAATTGACTTAAATAAAAAGATAAATATCCGCACTTTAAAAAGCACACTGGTGAGTCTTTAAGGCTGCCGGATTTTAACAACAAGAGTGTTTTTTTCAATGGGTTATTGTAATATTTTAGTAATACTCGAGTGTCAGTGAAAGCCGCTCCAGAGGAATGCCAGGGGCGTGGCTGAGGGCGTGGCAGGGGGCGTGGCCGCGGCAGCGTTACCCGCGTCATCACAGACCGTCTCGTGTTTACGTGGAAAACATGGCGGCGGACTGCCACCAACAAGGAGACAGATCCTAACCAGGCGTGATTTTGACAGGGAGCTTCGAGTCAAACAAGGACATCGAGCACTTAGCCCTTGGAGATCTAGTCGTATGAAGCTATTTCTCTTTTATTCCAGCTACAGGGTCAGCGGAGATGGAAGACGAGGAAAGGCAAAAGAAGCTGGAGGCCGGCAAAGCAAAGGTATGTTTTGAGTTTAAACTGCTAGCATAACTTCTAATTACAGTTTACATTGTAGTAAAGTTGTGCTGAAAGACTGCCGATATGTCGATGCGTTTCCTTGTTGCTGTCAGCTGTTTCTGGTACACCCCCCTCTCCCCTTCAGAGCCCTCTCAGCTGTCAGGGTCCAAACATGCGCCTGGCTCTGGCTGTCAGCCGGGGTTAGCCTAGCCACGGCTAACCACTCAACTCCTTTGTCATGCTGCAGGTTTACAATACTGAAACTCTCTTTATATTCTCCCCAATTTGTCCTGTAAATGTCAACTTAATACCGTCTAAATCGTAAGACCCGCGGTGTTATCAAGCTCATTAAATGCTATTGGAATGAGGCTGACAGGCTGGTGTAACAGGATTTACAGGACAGTAGCTTGAGCTAGCAGTGCCCCACATGCCAAACTTGTGCTTCAGTGGCTTTATCACATCACGAGCATCCACAATCAGGTCAGGTCAACCCCCAACCCTTTCACTTAAGCATTGTGAATGACAATACACCCCATAGGTTAATAGCAGAGACTTTGTGTTTGGAAAGATCAGTGGTAGTTGCCTGGGTCTTTTTCATTGAGCAGCTGTTGGCAACATACCACTCAGTCACTATAGCTTAAGTGCCCTTGGGCTGGAGATTCTTAAACTTAAACTAATAGTAGTACACTCAAAACTTAACGAAAATATTGCAATGTGAGTTGCTTATGATGAAAGGACACTAACTAATTAAGTAGTGGTTTGTCATAAGCAATCATCTAACATGGACATAAGCTGCAGTATATATCAGGTACACATTTTGAGAATGTAGGTGGAGGGTGCTGTGGCAATAAAATAAACTATACACAAAATTTATAACAGCATGCTATCCATTCAGTGATATCTGAAACAACAATAAATAAATAACACTTTAATTTTCATTACAGGCTGCATTACATCTTGTATTTATTTACTATTTTTCTTATTTTTATTTGTGATGATATAGGCACTAGGACTTAAAACATATTAGATCTGTTATAGTAGTATTACACACATTATTATAATGCACAAACGGTTTGTGTCAAAAGTTTTTGAATAATCTCTCTAATCATAGGAAGAGGAAAATATAGTGCACCATTCAAGTACATACTAAATTGTTTTTTATTAAGGGCAAATTGTCTGTTGGGAGGGTCATTAGTGTTGATAAGAACACAATAACAAAATTAGTCCCTGCAGTTGTAGTTGAGGAGATTTGAGTGTAGTTCGGTCCTTGTGATGTCGTCTTGTTTTGTAAGAGCCTGTAAGAGCCTGCAGTGGTTGTCAGGTTGCACAGCAGGCAGCCCAAACTAAAGTGCGTCGCCGTGGTTATGACTTTGGCATTTTAGTAATAAAAGGCTCTTGTGTCCCGTTAGAGGCTCCTCTCCACAGCAGCTCTGTGTCACCACGGCCTCACTTTCGCACTTCACAAGTTCTTTAACTGCACTTTCATTATGTACACTGGAGATAATAGGTTAGGTTTTTGGCCAAGTGTTCTTTAGATAATGTATTAGAAATCATTCACCCATAAATGTGTGGGGTTTTTTGTTTTGTTTGTTTGTTTGTTTTTCATTGTTCTTGTGCATCACATTTATGTTTATATATTTCATTCCAAAAATTTAAATTGCATGCAAAATCCTCCCTTATCCAAATCCTTATATGCCAGGCAATATCTGAAAATATCAGGAAAAGAAGTGTGCTAAATCAATATTCAAATTAGTGCCCACTATAAGAAAACAACAGATTGGCTGTTTTTGTAATGTAATTCAAACAAAGCAAAAGCAACACGGCATGTGTCCTTGTTACACATGGAGTAAAAAGCATCCATATTACCAAACATGTGTCAGCGCTGTCTGTCATCTCTCCATTGTGTCGTTGTCACAAACAGTGTACAAATGACTAAGAGATCATTTCCATTGCTTTGTTGTTCACTGCAGCAGACATCTTGCTCTGTGGAAAACCTGGCTCTATTATAGTGAGGACATTACAGCATCGTGGAGCTGCTCATTCTCATATTACACCTCTTCCATCTGATCATCCTGACATTCCCAGAAATATATCTATAGTTCAGCTGGTACAGATGTTTGTGTGAGGTGGAAGAAACCCAACACATTTTACAATATAGTTTTACAATAATTATCATTGCATTTATATTTCCACACTTTTACAGTTTAATTGAAATAATTATGAATGTGTGGGTTAGAGACTTCTTTTCTTGCAGATCTGACTTTAAAATTGCACTTTTCTAAATGGACTACCATGTTTGGATGTATTCAAGATGGTGTTTATATTCCTCAAAAATACCTTGAAAAACATGAATTCTTACTGTGGGTGAGCTGGCCTTTCCAGAGATCTGAGCTGTAAATGACCCTTCATTAGAACTTACATAGTGCACCTTTAGTTTTAGTTGCAGTGTGATTTACCTCCACCTTTGTGTCGTAAAGGTGCATTGTGTAACTTTTCTGGTGGAGTGTCCGTCACCTGCTTGTTTCTATGGGGATCACATTGCTCTGCCTGGAATGTTCCACAGTATGACATTAAACAGGTCTATCTTACATCTATCAGTTACAGTGGTTTTATTACAAAAATACATAAAAAAAACAGGCATTCTGACTGTAAGAGGGGACACCTCTCCAGAGATCTGACCTGTAATTTACCCTGAATTGGTCTCTATGAAGACAGAATAGTTTAATGTCATACTATGTAAGAAAAGCAAAAAAAAGCTCCTTTAAGTTTCTATAATACTGACTTGATGGGTGTTTATTATCGTCATGGCTACTGGTTCTGGTGTAGGTTTTGAGGACAGTGAGCACAAGTTGATCTACTTATCCCAAATCTTAATGTTTAATCCTGCAGGTGACTAAACATGCTGAGAACTTGCCCTGCATCTGTGTGACAAGCAGATTAATGAACGTTTGAGATTACCTCATTACTAAGTCTTATTAAGAGACTTCACACTAGGGTCCTTGAATGTCACATCTTGCATTTGATAACATTTCTATAATTTTCAGCAATTTTATCACTCTCAAAAAGGTAATGTTTGCTCTATTGAAAGACATTATGTTGTCCCATTTCCAGTTTGTTCAATTGAATTTTTGTTTTTATTTAAATATTTAAACAATACAAGCATAGACTATATAAATGGACATAGTCTTACAATGTTCATATTAATCCACGCTACATGATCCTGGTGTTTTTATTTAACTATTTTGTCCATAAATAAACTCCTATTTCTTACGTGGAACTGGCTCCAAATTTGCTCCAATAACTGATGGCCTCACAAGCTTAATTTATTTGACTGGAGCCGAACGCTATGGGTCACACTCCCGTAGTCCACTTATTTATACACTCTATAGAGATGAAATTTTAGATTCAAATAGGACCAACATTTCATTTTTTGAGTGTTTTTTGTTGTAGTTTATGATCAATATAATAGGCACTTGAAGCTCCCCATTATCCACTGACTATAACACTGAGGATAATATTGTTGACGTGCTGTCCTTTTGCGTGGATGCTACAGATTATAACTGTTATTTTTAATGCTTTATTTGTGTCCATAATGCTCTGATGGTGTTGTAGTAGGTTTTTTGCACCAATATCATCAGTTAGAGTACCAACATTTGTGTTAACCCCAAACTACTGTCTTTCATGTTTTATGCATAGTTCTTTTGCTTGTTGTGGAAATTGGTGATACATTTTTTTATGTATTCAGGTATTCAATATTGATCTAATTAAGATAGTGCCATTTAAAGGTTCATTGTGTAACTTTTCTGATTGAGGGTCCATTCCTTGCTTGTTTGTATGGATTTTTTTTCCTTGGTCTGGAGTCTTACTACCTGGTCTATCTAGCACTTATTTAATTACTTGTATTTCACTGCGCAAACATATCTTGAAAAACTTGCATTCTTCCTGTGAGTGGGCTTGTCTCTCCACAGACCTGACCTGTAACATGTTCAAATGATATCACTTATTTTCTCCATGAAGACAGAAAATGTATTATTACTTATTTCTATTTCAATTTTACTTGTACATTTATATAATTATGCCTTATTTGACAGCAGTCTTTATTTTTTGCTAATTCTTTAGAATTTATTACTATCATTTATATATTATTTCTCTTTGTTATTACTGTATGTTGTGATGTGTTCAAGTAATGTCCCTTGTCGATCAATAAATTTCTCTATGCCTATATGGGGAACATTCCAGGCACCGCAGTAACATCTTGCTTTAGTCAGTCAGGTATAGTGGAACCTCTACCAGAAAAGCTACAGAGTGCACCTTTAACATAAAAATGGCCAAATAACTTCTCCAAATTCTGCACCAAAACACTTAACAATAAAACTCTTAACAAAAATAATAATAATAATTAAAAAAAAACCTTCTCCTATAGGATTGTAGTTATAAACGTGAAAAATGTGTGACTGTTCTGTTCAATGTTGTAAATATTATAAACACTTTGCTATATTTTTCTTTTTCCTCAGTAAACATTTTGTGCTTTGTGTAGGCAGGTGTGTGGAGCTCTTTGTGTGACGGAGGTGCTGGCCTTGCATCTGGAGACCTTGAGATTGTTGCTTTTACCCAAGTGCAGTCTATGCAGAACATGTGATAACTGAGCTTTTCTCATAAAAGGGGAATAAGATGTACGGCTGCAGGCTGTTTTCATCCTCATCCAGTGGCAGAGTAAAAATACGAAACCGCAACATTGGAAAATCTTATTACGTGTAAGGATATCCGACAAGGTCCTTTTAGACATCAGCTGCTTGTTTTGTTAATTGGAGTAATTAGCTACCAACGTCTTTATTTGCTCTTGTTGTTAGGTAATTTTACTCTCCATAATTAATACTAGAGGATTAATATCTTCCCCTTCAGGCAATTTTCTATGCAAAAATAAAATTATAAATTCACACTTAAAGGTGCACTATGTATGTACCTTTTCTGATGGAGTGTCTGTCAGATGCTTTTCTCTCTGG